TGATGCAGGCTGAGGCGGCCTTCTCAAAGGCTCTTGGGCCAAGCCTGCCCACCTGAGATGACACAGGTGCCTCTCTTGTCTGTTCGTGCAGGCAAAGGAACCCCACCCTAGCAGCTATTGCAGCTCACGGAGAGGCCCTTAACCTCTGAATAACATTCGCACAATACAATCTTAGGCTCAATATGGAAAACTTGAAGGAGGCAGGAAAAGAGGAAGACTAAATATGAAATGGATTGACTCCATCAAGTCAGACATAGCCTTGAGTTTCCAGGAGCTGAGCAGGACTGCTGAGGGCAGGATATTTTGGAACTCTCTCATTTATAGGGTCTCCCTAAGTCAACACAAATTGGTAGCACATATCAATAACAACAACAACAACAACAGCCCATTAATAGATAGTTAAAAAATATATAGAAAATAATTTTGTTAGGAAATTACAAGAAGATAGGGATAGAATGGATAATTATTGAGAAGGAAATAAAGGGAATTATAAATAAATTGAAAGTAGGGAAAACACCCAGAATGGATGGATTAAGCCCAGAGTATTACAAAGTATTTACAAACCTCCTTAAACCTTTGTTAAAATACTATATAACAACATTTTAAAAGGGGATGAAATTCTTCAGTCATAGAAAGAATCATTAATAGTTTCAATTCTGAAACATGGCAAAAATCCAATTTATATGGAATCCCATAGACCAATATTATTTATAAACCAAGATGAAAAAAATATTTACTGCTATTTTATCAAATAGATTAAATAGTTTTATTGGAAATTGTATCTATAAAGATCAGAATGGTTTTGTACAAGGAAGACAAATTGCAGATTTAGTAAGTTGAGCAAAGAGCAGACGTGTTGGTTTCACACAGACTGAGGCTTGTATTTATGATATTTGTGACCCATTTAATCATGGCCCACTTAGCAGCTTTTATCAGCCACTCTGAGTAAGTCAAGTGAGGAGGTGGTAGACCTGCACTTCATCAACATGCTGGAGACCTCCTCCACTGATAGAGGGTCAAACTGATCCAAACAGACAGAGAGAGATACGGTGTGGCGATGGTCACCTCACAGTCGATGAATCTTCTTGTGGAGTCAAGGTCAGCACAGATGGCCTGAATTTTGGATCTTAAAAAGGCTGGAAACTGATCATTGGTAAACTCCATGTGAGTCCATGACCGACCGGCACTGATGAGGTTGTGAACCACCCAGAACAATTCTGCTTGCCAGTTAGCAGTCTCCCGGATACATCTGGTGTTAAATGCCCTTTTCACCATTTTTAAGGTGTTGGCGTATTTTCTGGTTGTGATCTTAACAGCAACCTTATTTTGCTATCATGTCAGCCACCCAGGTCGCCTCCAAATACCATCGATCGGCCTGGACTTCGACAGGACTGTCGACCAGACCAGCTGGAGACCCTCCCAAGGCTTCATGGAACTGTTCCGAGTCAAGAAGCCTGGAAGGACAAACCGTTATCCCTGTGGAGAGGGGTTGCCATAGACAGGTCAAACCTCAGTAGGAAGCGATCTGTCCACGATAGTGGGTGGATGATTGCATTCTGCACCTTCAGATCACTTTCTGCCCGTGTGGTCGGGAGCACCAGGTCCAGACTGTGGCCCACTGAATGCATGGGACAGGTGACGTGTTGGGATAAGTCTGTGGCTCTCATGGAGTCCGTGAACTCCAGGACTGCACCCAGACGGCACGGTTTCAGGACGGATGTGGACGTTCCCGGCTATCGATAGCCTGGGCGACTTCAGCATCGCAGCCGAAATGAACTCGGCCCGCCCTGGCAGGGACCGTGCTGGACTGTGGGGAGAGTGGCACACCGGCACTATCCCAAATCTCTCCCTAAGCCCCACTGTCAGGGGCCAACCCTCCAGGCCTGGGCTCAAAAGCTCGGTGGTCCTACTGATACTGATATGGAATTCCTGAAAACTCTTGCAGCCCCACCCACACCCTGCCCCTTTGATTTGCCCTGGTGCTGAATGGAATAAACGTGGTGGGGGAGGCATATCGGGCAGAAAGAGCAAGTTCTCCCAGGTTGGACACCCATGTCTCCGTAATACAGGCCAGGTCTGCTTCCTCTTCCTCAATGAGGTTGTAAATCAGATGGAACTTGTTATTAGCAGACCTGACAGTAATCAGCAGAATGATCAAATAGGTACGCTGGCTGAGCTGGTACCCAGCTTCTTGTTGGGGGTGGGTGGGAAGGTCAGAACATTCAACAGGTATGAATCATCTCATGCACGTTGTTATATAATGATAGGCCAACCCGACCACAGCACACTTTCCTCAAATAGAAATGAGATTCTGAATGAACTATAATTCAGTAGTCTCATGCTTTGTTCAAAGCTGGTTGCATTAAGGACAATAGCATAGTGCTTTGATAAGTGGAAATACGGTTGCAGTGGTTTCTGAATATTGATATTTATAATATCAGACCTGCCTCTGTTTTTTTTTAACAGAGGGACTGGATGGTTCATTCAGTGTAGGGAATCACTGACAGATGTTAGCACATTGGAAAGTGAGATAGTGAATGAACTGAATGAATCTTGTTGTTACTGATTCTATTGTAATGCAGCCTGTGGAGAAATGAGGACAGGGGTAGCATCTGGATTTGTTGCAGGGTCTAATTTCAGTGCTTCAGTGCTTCTGTTTTTAGTGTTCTATGTTAGTGTTGGGTTGTGTTAGTGCTCTGAGAGCAAGGACTGGTTTATCATTCAGGACCCATGTGAGGAAAATACCGTTTTCTGAGGTGGGCTGGAAATAATTGTGTATGTATTGGAGTGGTTTAAGTGAGAGCTATAATTGACATCCATTCTAAAGGAAATCAACTCTGAGTGCTCACTGGAAGGACAGATCCTGAAGCTGAGGCTCCAATACTTTGGCCATCTCATGAGAAGAGAAGACTCCCTGGAAAAGACTCTGATGTTAGGAAAGTGCGAGGGCAAGAGGAGAAGGGGATGACAGAGGATGAGATGGTTGGACAGTATCATCGAAGCAACCAACATGAATTTGACCCCGCTCCAGGAGGCAGTGGAAGACAGGAGGGCCTGGCGTGCTCTGGTCCATGGGGTCACGAAGAGTCAGACATGACTACATGACTAAACAACAACATAATCGACAAGTGTTCTGACATCGTTCTGTAGTACATTATTTCTATCACCAAACTGATCTTCTTGGTATGTTTTCTAACTTTGTCAGTGATTACTGTGATCCAAGAAATGACTGATAAAAATCCTTGCATGTCTGTCTCCAGTGGGTTAGAATAGGTGGCAGTTTGGCTACAGAGTTTGGCTGTAGTTAACTAACTTTTATGGAGTCTTCTGCATGGAAGCAAGAAGCCTGTAGATAAGAGAGTGCAGTGAATGGGACCTTTGTACTCACCCTCATAGTAGGTTGTCATCCAGCTGCTGGATGCCCAAGCCAATTTCTGAGCCGAACTTGAGATTAATCTCTGACCCAGCTAGTCCTGGAGAAGGGACAGCAAAAACCTCTCCTCAGTGATCTCAGGTGGGGGTGGGGGAAACATTTGCTGCGACTTTTCTAAGAACAATGCAGTTAATCTGCTTGACTGAAACTGTGACCAGTGATGCCATCAAGTAAGAGAAAAAATGTGTCATGGAGGGCTGGCACTCTAGGATCGAAATGGAAAACAGACTTGTCTAGGCTTGAGTTCGCCAGTCAGGGGCCAGGGACAACTTCTAGGTCTATGCCAACTTACTTCTGGTCAGGAGCTTTTTCTTTTTTTTAAAAAAATTGATCAACAATGTGTATGTGCGCAGTGCCTAATTATTCATTTTTGCCTAGATAGCTATTCTAATGATATTGAGGCTTTAATATGCTGCAGCTTCCTCCCATGCCTTGATTCCACAAGCCTGCCTTCAACGTTGAAGACTTCTCCAGCAGTGTGTTTATGCGTGTGTGCACATCTTTTAAACTGTGCACTCAGAATGCTGATGCATGCAAGGGGCCTAATTGTTTTCAGACCTTGGCTGAATTCCCCTTTCTAACATAGCTTGGATGAATCTGTGGATAAAATTTTGGCTTCAGCCTTTGATGTTTACCTATAGTGTTTCTAGGGATGAATTCACTTTGCACATGTTTAGAGGCAGTGTTTCTTCATTAAGTAAACGACATCTATCATAGCACATGCTTATCTTCACCTCTGTATTTTGCATATAGATATACTCTACTTTGGATTGCTTATGAGGAAGAAGAGACTAGTTTATTTTGCACGTCTGATTGCTGAGCAATGCACCTCTGATGGCAAGCTATTGCAGAAAGGGAAATGATTAGACATGGGCACTTTGTGTTCATATCTCAGGAATATGAATACGACCCATGGCACCACAGGTGCCCTGGGGGCCCAATTCCCTTCTCCAGAACTGACTGGACCACTCACCAAGCGCCATGCAGCCATCGGCAGCGGACCAATCCTGGCAGGAGCCGGGAGCTCATTGGCTTAGCAGAGAGACTCCCTGTACCTTTTCCATGCTCAAGTGGTTGGCTGCACGGGGAAGTGGGGAAGGACTGGCTGGGCTCCTGCTGGGATTTGCACACCACGGCAAGCTCCCAGCATTGTGCAGAGCCTGGTAAGTGGCCCAGCCAGCTCTGGGGGAGGGAACCGGGCCCCCGTAGTACCCTGAGATATTAATACGAAGTGCCTGTCTCTAGAACTGATCTGAATCATAGGAAACACACAATTCTCTCAGTGTCTAGTTTGACCTTCATATACACAAGACTCATAGGAAATGAAACATAGAAGAGCTGAGAGTAAAAAGCAGAGGAGACAACTCCTCCCAACTTCTGACATCAAGATGTGACATGAACACCAGCAATTTATTTTACAATAGATATGCTTTATCGTATTTTTATTATGTATGCATGGAAGCAGTAATTTAATAGTACATTCAATGCCAGTATTGAATAAATGGTTTATCCAATAGATCCCAGTACAAACAGGAATTTTTCTGACAATATCTCTGTTTCCTTTCAGATAAAAACAAAAACAAAAAAACCTGGTGCTTTGAGAAAGGAACCAGCCCACCAACCAAAGAAAATGAGGAAACACCGGCATTTGCCCTTTGTAGCAATCATTTGTCTTATACTCTCAGGCTATCACGTGACTCAGGCCCAGCAGCAAGAAAGTAAGTTTCTTCCACATTTAAATAATTACCTATTTTCAGAATTGAAAACTTGTCCTGAATATGTCCCCAGAAATTCTGAAGAAGGAGCGGGAGTGAAATTGAGTCGTAGTAAATGTTTGCTCAACACTATTCTCTGGTTTTAGTTCTACTAGACTGATATTGAGAATAGGTGCTTTCCTTTTATAAGGAAGTGAAGTAGCATTACCAAATATTGGGAAGCTATTGCATAGATTATGATGGCTGGCAGTCTTTATATCTGTGTGAAATACTTTTACTGATTGCTGATGTTCAGTGTCAAAATCACCATCTGATAACACTGAGGATTGGTAAAAGCCTGTTTCGCATGAGAAGTCAGCTTTTATAATGTTTACATTTCTTCCAGCTTCTCTCTTTATCCTTACCAGCCCCTGCATTCGCCCAAAGCCTCTTCAATCAGTCCTGACCCTTTGTTTTCCCTTTACATACCTACCAAATGGTGATAGAAGCAGCAGTGATAGTGTATTAGGGGAGGATGAAGGTTTTACTCTTTTCTGTCAATGGAGTTTTCCGAGTAGTATGGCACCAAGGGACAGATCCTGAGGAACAGTAAGAGAAATAATTGTCAAGTGTTTGTTTGTGTGACAAAGTGCATTGTTGTTCTTTCATCACATATAATGTGCTAAAGCTTTATCTGGCAGTTTACAACATACATTATGCAAACAAGACATTGTGCCCCAGTTAGCCATGTACTCATTTTACCAACCTGGAAAAATGGAAGGCTGAGTTAACTTTGTGCCACACACCGGAAAATGTTAGGATTTGAATTTCTCTCATTGTGACAGAAGAAGAGGAAGGATACAAGGAAGGAATGGGAAAATCTGCTTCTTCTCCTTTGGAAGATTTTATATTATCCTGGAAAACGTTTACATGGGAGTGGACATGATTTTCAGTTTAGGGTGCTTCCGTTGGTTCGAGCTACTTCCTAGTGACTACACAATATGTGGGGAAAAGTGAACCAGGCCAACCCTCTTCCACGCCCGTCCAGGCCTTTTTGGTTCAGAGGCAGAGCAACTCTGTTTTTTGAAGCTAGGCTGGAGAAATAGGGACCAGATCATGTGTGCACAGAAAGGTCACTATAAAGGAGGCCGCACCCAGCAAAGCCTCTCATATAGCTTCTTTCTGCAGGATCCAGCTGCCTTGCCTGGTCCCGCCCTTAGTCTGGCCCATTCAGCACTCACCCACCTAGAGAATCCCAGAAAAGTCTATATCATACTGCACAAGTTATCAGCCCCCCACAATCGAAACTCCTTATGAGGAAAGAGAGAAAATCAAAAACACCTCCTTCTCGCTTGCCAGCTACTGCTGTTTCTACTACCTCTTGATTGATATGTAAAATGAATAGTTGAGAGGCTGACAGGTAAAGCATTTCTATAAACCATGGTTTTGCACTAAAATTGATTGTAATTCCCTTCCCTCCCTCCCCGATAACTGACATCACTTGTCGAAGAACAGCATGGGAGAGTTCACCTGTCTCAAGCACAGTGTCATGTTTTGTAACATGGTGCTTGATGTAATATGGAAATTGACTTTCCTGTTGCAATTATTCCAATAAGTGTTCACATAAGGATAGTAATCATACCAGCACAATCACTTCAACAAATGCAGTCCATAAATCCAGTGGAAGCTGTGGATATATTCACTAATATATTGAATCAATATGCTTTGAGTATGGTAAATGGTTCATTATGTTATTTAAGTAAAGTAGGTTACATGTTTACATAGCATATTCTTACCTCCATATGCTTAAGGAACATACACTAGAAGCTGCCATAACTGGAGAATAATTTAAAGTTAGCAATGGAAAAACTGCTTCTTTAAGTTGAATTACTGACATCGAATGGTAGCATTATTAACTTTGTGAGTAAGGACACATGCTCTCTTAGCACAAGCTTCTTTTTTGTTTCTCCTGCTGAGTTTAATGTATATACTATGCATTTATGAGCTCTAGGCTGCTGCTGATGTCAAAGAATTGCATGACTTTTCACTAATAGGACTAGACTCCTGTTCCACCAACTGATCTCTGGAAAATCATGAATAATTTGTTTTTTTAAAGATGTCAAAGTCGGTCCTGCTGCTGATATAATATTTCTAGTGGATTCCTCTTGGAGCATTGGAAAGGAACATTTCCAACTTGTTCGGGAGTTTCTGTATGATGTTGTAAAACAATTAGATGTGGGTGGAAATGATTTACGGTTTGGTCTGGTCCAGTTCAGCGGAAACCCACATACAGAGTTCCAGTTAAACACATACCATGCCATGCAAGATGTCCTCTCCCATATTGCACACATGCCCTATATGGGGGGAGGAACCAAGACTGGACAAGGATTAGAGTTCCTCATTCGGAACCACCTAACTCAAGCTGCTGGAAGCAGAGTGAGTGACGGCACTCCACAGGTTATCATAGTGTTAACGGATGGACGCTCCCAAGATGATGTGGCTCTGCCATCATCTGTTCTTAAATCTGCTGATGTAAACATGTTTGCCATTGGAGTGCAGGATGCAGTGGAAGGGGAATTAAAGGAAATAGCAAGTGAACCCCTTGATATGCACCTATTCCGCCTAGAGAACTTTACTGCTCTCCACGGCATTGTAGGAGATTTAGTTGCGAGTATTCGCTCATCCATGACTCCAGACATGGCTGGAGCCAAAGGAGTCATTAAAGACATCACAGGTAACACTATCCTGCTGTAACATTGCAGTATTTATACTCAGTTGCTACAATTCTGTGGCTGTAAGCATTCTGATGTGTACAACAAGGGCATTTCCAGGCAACAACATCCACAACAAATGAACTTTATTTCTATTGTTTACTGGCACTATCTAGAATGGGAAATATCTACTTTCTGCTTTTATTTTTACTGAAGGGGGGGGTGTTAATGTAATGTTGGAGTGCCATACGAAGAATGTGAACTACAAAGAACTACAGAAAAAAAAGATGAGGTAAAAAGTCACAGGCTGATCCAGTGCTGGAGGGAAACTGCATTCTCCCAGCAATGTTATATTGTGATTCGAGTGCTGAGAAAATATGATTTATTGAACTCAGTTACTGTGTAAAACAATGAGAATTGTCTGGAAAGGTCCAAGGGTACACATCCAAAGGGTTAAAAACAAAGGTTTTCTTAGCATAAATACTCTGGCAAACAAACTTATCCATTTGATTTGGCATAGTTTTTGCTACAGATTATACAACAAAATCAAGCAAAGATGAAACCCAATATTCCCCAGTTGCTAGGTGGTCACACTACCTATGTCTCCCGCATAAAGCTTAAGACAAGTTATTTATTTATTTATTTTTATTAATTAATTAATTAATATGCTGCCCACTCTACCCAAAGGTTTCTTAGTATTATCTTAAAGCTAAAGGCATGTAATTTGCATTAAGTGACAAAACTAGAACATACTATTTTTTCCAGAAAAATAGGAAACTAAGAAAGTGTACCATCATGTGTGTGTTTCTAGATGCGTGTGTGTCTTTGATTTAAGCTCTCTTGACTTAGCAAACCAGTTTAGTGGGAAACTTTCAAGCCCCATGCAAATCCCTGTCTCCAGATGAGAGCAATATAAAGGAAGAGTATTTTTTTTGTTGCCAACATCTTTGTAATTTGCACAGGCTTTTTCTGTGCAGAACTAATATCCTTGCCCTTTGAGAAGCAAAGCATATGCACACACAGGAAGTGCAAACTGCATTTAATAATGCAAACCTTTCCAATGCTCCTAGTCCTTAAAATTCCATGCCACAAACCAGTCTTTTTTGTGTGCAGTTTATATTATTTGCATTCAAGTGTTATTAGAATAATATTGATTAATTTAGACAAACAACTATTCTTATTTTTTTTTTCTTGTCAAGAGTGTCAGGTAGTACTTTGTCCTCTCAGGATAAGAGGAGAATAATTTAGAGTTCATTATCATTGCATCATACCTGTTGTATTTGAAAGCATGCAGGGGCAAATAAAGAACAGGACAGGAAAAAAGGCAAAAGAAACAAGAAATGAAAAGCCATTGTTTTCTAACTAGGTATTAAAGAGGAATCTCCTATTGTTTTATGATTTTTCCCTCCCCTACACATTAAAAGCAAGAGAAGTAGAAGCAAATCATCTTATTTGTAATAATTTTGTTTTCGAAACAAGTACAACTATAAATCCCATTGCAGGATCATTCTGTATGATATAAAACTATGTGGTGAAAACTATGGGTTCAATCAAATGATACTTATTTCACTAAGTTCCTGACCTTTGTTTTTTACGCCTTGAAATGCATGAAAAGAGAAATACAATTTTGAGTGGTAGAGGGTAACAGCAATGCACAATTACAACATTCATCTTGTCTCATTAACTTCTCACTTTATCATTTGCTCCGTTTTCCATCATTGCATTGCTGCATGCTAAATAGCCAAATAAACATTTTCATTGAATTTCATTCTCTATGATCGTTCAAAGCTTTAGATTAATGGAAGAAGTCAGCAAATATCATTGTGTTTTAACACTTTAAGTGAAACTTTGAAACATAACATCTGCCAGAGATATATATTATTTTTTAACTGCTACTGTAGGATAGATCTTCATCACTAATAGTCATTGAATATAACTGGTTTCCAGATTTTTATCTTGAAATGAATCGAGGTGTAGTCCCTTAAGCTACTTTAGAAGTATTAGGAGCGCGTAACAGGCAAGCACAGAAAAGGTTTAATATAGGATGAACCCTTCCTTTAAGGATTTATAAATGTGCATTTTACGGTCTCTTGGAGAGCTTCTTTCCCAGCATTTACTCTATGCTCTCCAAAGGTCTAAACTAATGTGAAGCTGGGTCTTATTTAGATTGTACATCATTAAGAGACTCAGTCCACCTTTACACAATAGATTATTCAATGTGTAAGCATTTTTATCACTATTTAAGCAAAGTCCACTTTGAATGATTTACTTGAGAATTCTGTATCTTTAGAGCTGAAAAATATAGACAGTATATAAAGATAGCTAGAGAAATTGGTTATTCTAATTATTCATAGATTGGTTTTGTACAAATGTATCACTATATAGTCTAGCTAAGTAGAGTATGTTCCATTCAAAGGTATTTCTTCGGTTACATACCCCCAGCACAATGTTGAAGTCTTTTCCTGGGGACATAAATTGACATATTTCAAGACACAACATGGTGCCATATAGGCTTTAAAATATGTTTTTGTCTGAAAAGGGACACTTGTGCTGTTTACAGACTTCCCATCAGTGCCATGTTTGTATGTTCCTAAAATGACTTAAAAGCAGGTTTTAGTTACGTTGAAAGCCAAAAGTGCTCAAGCTTTACAAGTAACAACTAGCGCTAGACCAAAGGTTAGTCATGAATTTGCCAGGATATTAATTATACTCCACTGGGGTTCGTTACCTAATTCCTGCTTTCTTTCTACGCCAACAATGCTCTGCTTCATTGTGTAACAAAGCACGCTTTAATTTGCTGTCCACCATCAGCTTAACCTGTCATGGTGTACTTCAGTATGATGGTATTGTGGGAGTGACTAATTATCCAACAATTATATGTACTTACTCCCTGTTTCCCTTAGATCAGCAGTATTTTATATATAATTTAGATGATATTTTCTGGAACCTTTAGTCCATGTAGTAGCACACCACCTTTGCAGAAGACTAGCAATGAAAAATAAATGTGTTTTACATTTTTACCACTGTGTTTATTAAAATTCAAAACAGAAATCTTTAAAAAGAACCATTAACATATTTCGCTATCACATATACATCCTGGTTTTCTCTCAAGGGGCTCAGGCATAATGTGATATGTAAAATAGTTTAAGCCGAGCTACAGCGGCTCAGGTCACTCCGTGAGTTTCACAGCTAGAGATTTGTCCAAATCTCAATGATTCGTGACCACTTTCTCTACAAGTGGCATAAATCAAGTATGAAACAGGTCTACACATGTTGGATAAATTTGGTCTAATACATATTTAAGGTAAATGTAATAGTGTATTTAATAAACTATACCTTAGTCATTTGTGATGCTGTTTGACTGCAGAGTCAAGTATTGCATTGTTTTGGTATCATCAGCTGACTTTCCTGCTGTTTCCAATACCACTAAGCTTCGCTATGTGTAGACAAAGTCAGTAGTTTATGCTAAAGTAATTCTAGTCCACCTTCATTTGTTTGTTGTTAAAGGAACAGCTCAGAATTATCACTAACCAAAGGAGAACGTTCCATCTATAAAGTGTCAGGTTTTCAGATTTGTCAGATTAGGCCACCCTTAAGCCAACATCTAGCTAACCATGAATGGATTAAAAGGCCTACTTTACATGGGATGCAACCTCTCATCCATTTATCCAGTACCAGCTAATATTCAATTGAAAAGTATATTGCTCATACAAGGGTGAGATATCTGATCCATTCAGAATCAGTTATAACTGTTGGATAATAAGATTAGATAATTATACTGTATTATGACTGGCTTTGTCACCCTGTTTAACACGATTCTGCATTACTTGATTGAATATCCAGCAATTGTATGTGAAGAATAAAATCAAATATCTATTTTCATTAGAGAAGAAATTTATAATTAAATATCATAAAAATGTATCAGCTTAATTTCTATTTTTCAACTGTCTCACTTTAAAGAGTTACATTTTCAGACGATATATAGGCAAATAAATCCTACTATAGTAGTTTGCTAAATAAAAAGAAAATGTATAAGGTTTATATATTTTAATATTTACTTGTTTCTTTGAATAAGATTAGGTTTTATTTTATTTTTTCTTGATTGGGAATATTCAGATATTTAAGCATAACTCTTTTTATGCTCAAACACTACCCCTTCCTGAGATTCTCCAAGGAAACTAAACTAAAACTTTATTGCCATACTTTATTTATAGTAATATTTTATCATTTCTTGTCTTGAAAATCTCAGTGTGACATTATATATATGTCACATATATATAGTCATATATATAAACTTAGTTCCCTATACTTGCAGTCTGATCCAAATTGGCATTTTGAAGATAAATGGGTGATCATTCATTGAAGGGCTTTCTTATGAAGAGCTAGTGTTCTAAGTTAAGTTGTAGATGTTTTTAAGCTTTGCGACCACACAGAAGACTTCTATTTCTTCCTAATACAGTATTATGTAATTTGCAAATATAAGCTGGCAATTCATATTCAATCAGAATGCAGAACTTGCAGGCAAGTTTCATTCACGCTGACCATTACTTGTTTTTTTCTTTCATATTCGTGTTTCTTGCTAGTTTCCAAAGAAACATGTCAGAATACTTTTCAACTCGCATGGAATCACTTGGTTTAATGCTTTCACCTGTTGCATTTCTCTGTTTTTTTTAAAGCGCAAGAATCTGCTGACATTGTTTTCCTTATTGATGGATCAAACAACATCGGCGCTGTCACTTTCTCAGCCGTTCGTGATTTCGTTGCAAATTTAATTGAAAGACTCTCAGTTGGAGCTGAGCTCGTACGCATTGGGGTGGTAACATATAGTGATCAACCCAGAACTGCATTCTTCTTGAACAGCTACTCCCAAAAAGCCGATGTTCTAGATGCAGTGAAATCCCTTAGCATTCTTGGTGGTGAGGCAGCTAATATTGGGGAAGCTCTTGAGTTTGTGGTGCAAAACCACTTTACCCGCTCAGGAGGCAGCAGGATAGAAGAACGTGTCCCACAGATTTTAGTACTAATAAGTGGCAGTGAATCTAGTGATGATATTAGGGAAGGGGTTTTAGCCATGAAGCAAGCTAGCATATTCTCCTTTAGCATTGGGTTCCAAAATGCAGACAATGTTGAGCTTCAGCAAATTGCTACTGATGGAAGCTTCGCATTTACTGTCCTGGATACACGTAACCTTGGCGAACTTCAAGAACTCTTACTACCAAACATTGTTGGAGTGGCCCAAAGACTCATTTTGTTAGATGCTCCAACCATTCTTACAGAAGGTATGTACTGTTTTTAATGAACCATTATATATGATTCAGTTATTTATATTCTTATATGGAACTTTTAATTATTTGGGTAGTCTTCTTAGAAGCCAGATAGCTCAAACTGTATAATGGAGTTTCAGATAACAAAGACAGTGGGCTGCTGTGGTGAATATCTGTAAGAACTGGAAAATGTGAACCTAATATACCAAAAAGGACACATGCAGATGAAATTAATGATGGTATAATCAGAAACAGACAAAGAATGTGAAGACAATTAAATGTCACCATTCTGACGTAAGAAATGTTTGGCATACAAGGGACAAAATCCATGTGACACCCTTCTTAAGGTAAAATAAATGAAATAATTGACAATTCAATGTTTGAACAGTGTCTTCCAGGACTTTGCTTTTAACAATTTCAGTTATTAAAGTGTTTTCATCTTAGATTTTTTTAATATGTAGAAATTAGAAATTCTACATGATAGACAATATAGATAATAGCTAACTATCTTGCTGGTGCTTCACATTTGATAATAGTCTGTACCACTCTCTGGCTTCTATAGGACTATTTTCTTTATGTAATTATTGCAAGCATGATGAACTTTACAAATATGTGAGCATTTTTTTTTCAAATAACAAGTAACAACAGTAATAGAAACGCAGCATCCAAGCTGGATGCTACAGAACATGCACCCTTGAGTTTCATTCACAAAGACTGTGCCAGAGCAGGAGTTGCTTGTAGGAAAAAAAAACACAAAGTAGTGCAAATGTCTCTTTAGAACAAAGTCCAAGATACCTTTATTGTCCAAGGCAAAAGATTCAAAGCACAAAAAATTAGCTCCTGGTATCCAGTTTTTAGAGTTCTGAAATAAAATACCAGTTCAGATACAAATACATAAATCATTACATAGATTTATCCTTGCAGTGCTCCTCCTGCACAAACAGATTGAAATTCTGTTACTTAAACCAAAGTGTTAAGAGCCTATAACATCCGCCAGGGGAACAGCTGTTCCTGTCTTCTCCAGTCCTCTCTGTATCTTTCCAAACTGGAATAGAGAATCACAGCCCCGTCCTGGGATTTCCCCACCTGCTGGGTTGAACCAAATAGTCCATAGGAGTTACATTCTCCTGTATCAAAATACTCTTGTCTCAACATTTACTAAGTAAGATTTAGAATCGAATTCTACATTATGCACTTGCATATTACAATCAGCATATTACCAATATGTAACCTCTGGATGTACAGTCATAATAAGCATGAAAAGCTAAAAACATAACCATGAGTCTTTGCTGGCTTAGTTTTAATTCGCTGAGACCTGCAAAGCACCTCATTGCTTTCTTTTGCATTTATTGATGGAGCTATGATACTGAAGGGACCAATGGCAGAAAACCCCTGTGGTTCAGATGCCTTACTCCGAGTCCCCTCATTATGAGGACTTACCTTCCTCGAATATAAGAACTGGGTTGAACTTCCTTGTCTAAAGATTAAGTCCTGATGAGAGCTCCAACATTGATTCCAGGGTTGGTTCCTCCATTTGAATCAGTGTATTCTTAGTTTCCTGCTTAACTCTGTGGCTAACTGGATCTTCTGGATACAGTGGGGTCTTGACTTGAGAACTTAATCCGTATTGGAAGGCGGTTCTCAAGTCAAAAAGTCTGTAGGTCAAGTCTCCATTGACCTACAGTGCATTGAAAACCGATTAATCCCGTAACAGGCCGTTTCTGTTCCATTTTGGGTTTTTTTCTGGCCTGTAAGTCAAATCTCAGTCTGCAAGTCAAACCTAAATTTTGCGGCCAGAGAAGTCTGTAACTCAAAAAGTCTGTAAGTCAAGCTGTCTGTAAGTCAAGGGTCCACTGTACATGACAATTGGCGCTTCTTCAAATGCAACCTCATGGTTTTAACATATCCCTATGCAAAGTTTCAGTGGGACAATCTTCTGCTTGAACCAGACATTTCTCATCTATCCGATCCAAAACTATGTGCACAACTGGTTCCCATCTGTCAGAAATTTTTGGCATCCCACAGGAGCTCAAATTACGTACCAACACTGTGTCTCTTGATTCAGCATTGGACCTTACAACTTTAACTTCCCATCTCCTTTTTTATTTTTTATTTTTAAAATAGCATACAAGCAGAGTTGTATGCTATTTAGTCCCTGGAATTTTGCTTGATTCTGTAACTAACTCTAACGTTGCCCTTGATAACTTGAAATCATCCTGGGAAGCCATAATGGCTTATAACATTTTTCCACAAGGTGTTTGCTATTGTTCTTGCTGTCTGGTCTCTAGTAGGATAAGCTTGGCATATGTCATGAAGTGATCAGTGACCACCAAAATATCATAAATACCTGTTGTAGCATGTTCAAAAGTCAGAAAGATTATGCAAATTAATTCCAAAGAAGTATACACCTTGTTTATGGTGGCCAGGCTTTGTATACCTGAAGCCTTTGCCTATTCCATCTAACAAGCCTTAGAAATTACTTTTTGGGGATTCAATACAGAGTCCCTTTGAGTTAATTTTTTAACATGTGCTACTATTCTCATGTTAGTTGCAATGAGCATCACAATCTGTGAAAAAACAGTTAACTCAACTGGCTCAGTCACCACTTCTGGGTCCTTCGAGAGGACTGTAGCTTCTGGGTTTCACCCTGGCAGCCGTAACACGCCTAACATTGTCCAAGGTCTAGCAGCTGGGACGTTAAAATTTTTTCTTCATTGCAAATGTATCTCACTCCTATCATCCACCTCCAACATCTGACTTTTTAAATAATGCTGTATGTAAGCCACCTTCCACTGATATGGCATGTCCATCTGGTTTAAATGTTTGTCACTAAATTGACATCTATATGTTGCAATGCACATTTGATTCATGCATTGATACAAAGGCTGGGAAACCATATCCATCATCCATGCCTTTGTTATCCATGCATCTACAAGTATGTGGGACATGCAGTTGTCACTTTATTGGTCCTATATATGGCACCGATGGTCCTTCTGTCTATGTCCAGTATGTCACTAATGGGCCACAGTTCTCTGTGACCCAGATGATTTTTGTAGAATGTCTCATGTCTACAGGTTAGGTGGGACTATGTTAACAGTCCCATTTTACCTTATTGAAATAGACATAATCATTAAATTTAGGTTCTGTCAATTCCTCTGATGTTTGCCATTCACATCTGGTCAAACTTCCCTTTTCATAATCCCAAAGCTATATTGGATATATTGCTTCAAGTCATTTCTCCATCTTCTGCTTGGTTCTGGCTTCCCAGGTTTCTATTAAATTGTGAGAAGCTAATCTTGGGTTAGGTCTATTAGTACAGTCTTTCTTTAAATGACCTTTGAATGTTTTGGAGTCAGGTCTAGGAGGACATAATCTAAATCCTTGGTCAGGTTTGGAGGTCTTTGGCAGATTCCCATAATGTTGCCACAGTTGTTTCTTGCCCCTTTGGTATTTTTTAATCCAAATGCTGTCCACCAGTGTTCCATGCTCCAGCCCATGGTTCCCCCCTCACTTGTTTAAATCTCTTTCTCTTTCCCTCTCTGTCTCCCTGTCCCCCCTCCTGTGTGTGTGTGTGTGTGTGAGAGAGAGAGAGAGAGAGAGAGAAAGGAAGAGAGAGAGAGAGAGAAAGAGAGAGAGAGAGAGAAAGAAAGAGAAAGAGAGAGCACCTGAATTTAAGATGGTGTTCCGAACTGTCAATTCAGTGAAGAGGGGTCTTTGTTAGAGGATTACAAACTTATTTACTTATTTGCAGCCAAAAAAAGGAGGTCTTAAAAGCCACCCAAAGTAGTTATACCAGGGAGTTCAGGGGACAGATACAAAAGAGATCAAGAAGCAGATAGAATGGGTAATCAATTCAGGAGGTTCTCTGTGCTGATTTCCCCTTTCCTGGCTTGTCCTTTTGTCACGGGCTACTTTCTTTGAACTCCAGTCCTGGGCCCGCTGCCTCTACAGGAGGGCATTCTATAATGCTCTCCGAGGGCCCAGAGTCATCAGATTCCTGAAGTTCCAGACCTTCATCTGACTTTATGACTAGGAGAAAGAGATGCCTAGGAGGAAATGATTTCTGGACTGAGAGTATCAGTTTATAGGTGAGGAACAACACTGCAGATAAGACAAAGAGCAAACATGTCAGGAAACTCTAAATACCATTTCCGTTGTCAGCACACAGTCACTTATACAACCCTGGTTGTATATATATGTCTCCATTTTTAACAGGAGAGCTGTTTAATTTTTATTTTTTTAAAAGGCATGCAAAGGTGAGAGGTGCTATCTTGCATCAGGCACCTTTGTCCAAACCTGACTATGACACCTGAAAGGACAGAGCATGAGGACTGAAACAAGATCCCATCCTTCCCTTTATATGTGAATGAGGAAGAGAAATGAAAAGAGACACATGGCAGCTGCCTCTCATCATACCTTGCTTTGTCTTGAGTGCTAACATGAGGGGTTTTCCTCCATTCTTCATAGCCACAGAGTTCTTAGGCAGCTCATAATGGTGATGGCAGCAAAACAGATGTAGGTTTGCCAAGGTTGCCTGTGTAGGCAACCTGAAGAGAACTTGAAGAGTAATGCTGTGGCACTAATGGGTGTAGTATATTAAATTGAAATAATAAATAAATAAACATTTTGCTGAAAGAACACATTGCCAGTTGAGGTATGGAGTTGGGAGAAGTCAAGAAAGTGTCCGGGCATTGTCTGTTCATTTCCTCCAAGACTCGGTTGTGCTATCCAGGAAAAAACAAACGTACATCACTCTAATCGTTATGTCATGTTTGGCTGAGCTATATTTTGGAAGTGTAATGGATATAGCTTTACCGCTTGTCACCAATGTGGCTGCATTGTTACACACATTTACATGGGAGGGGAGTCATGAATTTGGCAGCCTTTTGTTCTGAAATTGTGGGGGGAAATCCCTTTTCTCTCTCTCTCTGCAGTGAAATTTCTCTTGCACAGAGAAATATCCTCACAGGGAAAAAAAGGTCCCCCTCCCCTGCACATACATACCTTAAGAATTCTTACTGGATATTTTGCAGGATTTTTCAGACATTTTGAAATCACATTTGAGGCAGAAACATCAATCTGCACACAACTATCACAATTCTGTGCGCAGGATGGCACTGTTTAGTATTGTTCAGATTTCTGGCCAGGATTCCCCAGAATTGGGCAGTTTCTGTGCAATGCCATCTTTTATGCATACTGTACTTTTATCTGGAATCCTGTACAGGATTTGCCAGAAAGGGTACAGAACTATCCTGAATTTGCCTGCTTCCTATGTGGAAGAAATAAGTGATGAAAACAGGGATGGTCTGGGAAGTCTGGACAAATGAGACCTATGTTTCCTCATTATTGGAAGCTGGGAAATCTTACTGTCACTGGGGGAAATCTCAGCATGAAGCCTTTGTGTGGCAAGAGTTGGAAAACTGTCAGGAACAAGTGCTTGTCACATCCCTATTTGCTTAATTCACATTAAAGGTGACTATTGGATCTTCCTGCTCCTTACTCCAAAATTTTCAAGGGAGGCGCCTTTCTCCTGTCTTGAGCCACCTGTGGCACATGCACTTCAGCCATGTCATGTTGCTTAAATAAATTTGTACTGGATTTTGAACTGAAAAGATACATTATGAAAGAAGGCTAGAATTCCAGCCTTTGTTACACTGATTCAGTGTAACATTCAGATTTCTAATGCAGGAAAATCCTCATGAAGTATTTTTGTCACATTATTTTTAGGTGGCAAATTCATTTTGTTTTTGTTTTTTTAAAACATGGAAATAAAAAAGCCAAACAAGTGACACCAAAGTTTTAAACTGTTATGACACTAAGGGCTTGCTGGCATCTCTGTTCACCTGCCTATCGTATAATCTTTTTACTGGAACAGAAGAAATTGTTTGGATTAAGCTCAGGCAAGATATGGCTGAGAAGCAAATGCAGTGTTTGGCCCATTTCTTTTGTTACACTGTATCTTGTTATATCTGGTACTGTGGGCTGGGAAAAGAAGAACTATATTAAATAAGGAAATGGGGAAAGAGGAGCTTTGCTTGGAGAAAGGTTGGGGGAATGTAGAGGACTTAAAAGGCGTGGAAGTTTGTATGGTAAATGCCATATTAGTAGAGAAAGGAATGTTCAAGCCAAATGTGGTATATAAATGGAAATGGTTGGGAGTTGAGGGGAGAGGAAGGAGAGCATTTGCTCTTTGGATAGCATTAGGGACATAGAAGGGACGTGGTGGTGCTGCGGGTTAAACTGCAGAAGCCACTATGCTGCAGGGTCAGAAGACCAGCAGTCATAAGATTGAATTCACGCGACGGAGTGAGCTCCCGTCACTTGTCTCAGCTCCTGCCAGCCTAGCAGTTTGAAAGCATGTAAATGCGAGTAGATAAGTAGGTACCATCATGGTGGGAAGGTAACAGCGTTCCGTGTCTAGTCGCGCTGGCCACGTGACCATGGAAACTATTTTCAGACAAATGCTGGCTCTATGGCTTGGAAATGGGGATGAGCACTGCGCCCTAGAGATGGACACGACTGGACTAAATGTCAAGGGGAACATTTACTTTTACATAGGGACATAGATTGGATTTGTCGAATAATGGGCAAGAGTGATACAGGTGTTGAAAGAAGACAGGTTTGTAAAAGACAGAGACAAGTCTACAGCAAAGAAGAGAACCCAGAGAAAGCATTATGAACACTCTGGATACCTTTGTGGACATTTCCTTGATATCTTACCTGTCAGCTTCTAGATGTGTCTGATTGGAAACAATGGAAAAGATTGCTGTTGTAGGTTGGCTTTAGAATAATTCTGCATGGTTCTTCTTATGGATATCCATCAATATCAAGTGGAGATCCCTTAATGCCTGGTGTAAATATTATAAAGAATTTCATACAATATTATAAAGTAGTGACCATGCAAACACAGCTATAACCAGGTTTAATTTAATACTTATCTGCGGGATCAGTATCTGCTGGTTCACTTATCTACGGTCTGAAAATATTAAAAATATTAAAAGAAAAATCCTAGATATATACATTTCTAAAGATGAAGTTACGGGGGTCCTACAATTTGGATTGTAGTAGTGCTCAGTTAATAAATGCAAACAAAAAACCTAAGACAAAACATACCAGACCTTGTCAGTGTTACTATTTTGAATTAAAACATGCACAGTTCCCCAGCGTACATGGCTAGTAACTATGCTGGCTGGGGAATTCTAGGTGTTGTGGTCCAGAAAAATTACTGTTACAAGCTGAGAGACATTCTCTATCACCCCAGGAAGATGTGCACTAATAAAGTATTGATTAGCATTGTTGAATGAATATTCCCACTGATTTTATTTATGTATATGTTGCTTTCAGTTGTTGAAGTCAATAGGAAGGACATAGTCTTCCTGGTAGATGGAACAACAGCCTTGGGAAATGCCCCCTTTAATGCTATTCGTGATTTCATTGCCAAAATCATCAACAGACTGGAAATTGGACCAGACCTCATCCAAGTTGCGGTGGCACAATATGCAGATACTGTAAGACCGGAATTCTATTTCAATACCTTCCAGACAAAAAAAGATGTCCTTAGCAGTGTTAGGAAAATAAAGCCAGTTGGCGGTCCAACACTTGATACAGGTTCCGCACTGAGGTATGTGAAAAATAATTTGTTCACCAGTGCTGTTGGAAGCAGGATCAGTGAAGGTGTGCTGCCCATGTTGGTCCTTATTACTGGTGGTAAGTCCAGAGATGATGTTCTCCAACCAGCATTAGAAGTGAAAAGCAGCGGCATCGTAGTCCTTGCTGTGGGAGCCCGAAATGCTGATCGTGCTGAACTAGAACAGATTGCTTATGAACCGAGCCTGGTCTTCAGTCCCACTGAGTTCCGCACAGTTGCACTAACAGCTATTCTTCCTGACGTTATAACACCCATAAGGACACTTTCTGGAACTGTTGTGGAAACGACACCAATAGAAGGTAAGCACTATACTTCTCGATTATTCAGAGATAATGCATTTTAATCTTCTTAAGCAGTATTTTAAAATAGTTATACTGTATACACTTGTCATTGGTGTTTCATTCTTGCAGCTAACCAACCCATATCCAAAATGGCAATTATGCCAGGTTTCACCACTGATGTTCATATTTAGCAGATAAAAATTGCAGTCTTGAAGACTGTGTTTGAAGATTTGGTCACTGGAGCCTGTGGAATGTTTTCATTAAATTGAGACACTTTAGCATCTAGTCCTTAACTCAGATGCTGTGGTATTGGCATCACTCATTCAACAATCCATAGACAGTTTACTCTTATAGGCCGAAATCCTGTTGGGCAGCTCTGCCCGCCCAACAGGGATGACATAATTGACAGTGACAGATGGCAGCTGGTTAAAACCTTCTTTATGCAATTTCAGGGCATGCATTTGTTCCACACTAAGTGATAAAGTCACATGCAACCTGAAATCACAAAGGAAGTCTTTACTCAGTGGCAAAATAGAACAAGCTATTTTTAAAATGACCAAGAGAGAAAAAAATGAGACACCCCCCCGCAAACTATGAAGTGGGCCCATTTACTTATCTCTCCAAGTAGCTAGTGGAGTGCCCCATATCCATGAGATGATAAGGTATGCTGTGTGATGTAATTATATCCACTTAATTCGTAAAGAAACCCAAGTAATATTTCTAGTGATGAAGATAGTAAAGTAAATGAACCACATAATGTCTTAATTTTGAGGCTTAAATTATTGAGACTTCAATAATGCCCAGATTTAGAGTTTCAATTCTTCATAATTTTCATTTATTGCTGAAGTGTCAATGTATAGAATCTTCTGTATTTATCCTTAACTAAGATGAATATCACAGGATTAAGATCTGTCACTTAACAACTTTCTCAAAATAAATGTCTTTTACTAATATAGCCTTTGCATGCTTCATGTCACTGTTGACATTTTTATTTTACCATTTAAATTAAAAATGATCTTACATGTTTTAAAACTCGAAAGATAAGTACAGTATCCTCTCTCTGTGTCTCTTGCTTCTCAGCCCAATCTTTCTGTTTTTCTTTTCTTGTAAATTTCTGAATACAATCCTCTTGATCTGTACTAGAGACGGGATTATCAGATTTTTGGATTACAGATACCATAATTCTCCATTCTGCCTTCCTTGCAAACACGTTACAAAACTTGAATGTGATACACCTGGAGAAAGGCCTAAACTGGAAGGCTTTGAGGCTTAGCTAGGCTGTTTAACGTGTACATGAAAGTACTTTGAGAAGTTGTCTTAGATTTTGGAGTCTGGTATCACCAGTATGTCGATGTCATCCACCTTTCTCTCTCCTTTCTACCTAATTCCAAGCGAGCTGTTCCTGCTTTAAACCAAAGTCTGCTGTGGGTAATGTAGCGGATGAAGGCAGAGAGATTGAAACGTAATCCAGACAAGATAGAGGTTCTCCTGGTCAGTTAAAAGGCAGATAATTATCATCTCCAAATATGGATGCACCTTGTGTTGAATGGGGTTACACTCACCCTGAGAAATCATGTTCGCAGCTTGAGTGTACTCCTGGACTTATCACTGAGCCTGAATGCTCAGATCTCAGAGGAGTCCAGGAATGCCTTTGCACAGCTAACACGGGTGTGCCAGCTAAACCCATTCCTGGAGATGCCTGATTTGGCTACAATGACACATGCCTTAGTTGCATTGTTCTTAGATTTCTGCTAGACATGGGATATTTGTATTCATCTCTCAGGGGGGTCAAATATGAATATTGGCACCACAGGTGCCTGGGCCATTTAGAGCCTCTCCACAGAACAGGCTGGTCCACTTACTGCTCACTTGTGGCACGCATGTAGGGTTGCCAGACGTCAGGCAAAAGGAGGATGTGTCCTCTTTTTTAGCCTAATGTCCTCCGTTTAGCAGGCAAAGATAAAAAACCTTTAACATGTCAGGCTTTTGTATATTTAATGTTATCATTTTGGATGAGAGGGGGAGAGGTAGACAGCCCCCCCTCCCCTGTCTTTCCCCGCTTCCACTCACCCACTCGCCCCACCCGTTACCTGCTGCCAGTGCTGGAGCGCAGCCTTCACCCCCTCCCACCACGGCGATGTATATTTTATGTTATAATTTTGGATGAGGGGGGAGAGGTAGACGCCCCCCTCCCCTGTCTTTCCGCGCTCCCACTCACCCACTCACCCCACCCATTACCTGCCGCCAGTGCTGGAGCACAGCCTTCACCCCCTCCCACCACAGCAGCGGCTGCTATAATAAATAGCTCCACTCAAGCTTCCTGTATAAAAAGAAGACTCCCAGCTATCACTGGGGCAGAAACAGAAAGCTTGAGTACAGCTAGGTTTAGCTAGGCCTCAAAACCTTTCAATTTAAGCCTCTCTGTTCAGGGGAACTGCGGTGGTGGGAGGAGATTATCTGAAATTGAAAAGTGTAAACCTTTAACCCCACCCCTCAATATTTAACAGATTCGTTACAGGCTGTGTGAATTCCTTCTCAAGTCACAGTGTTTAGTCATTTATATTGTTGTTGTTTTTACTGAAGATGGTTATCAGGAAGTGGAGAGAGAGACCTCCCCATATTTTAACATCTACAGTTTAATTGCAGTTTTTGCTCTAGTCTTGGAGGAGTGTAGGCCAAGAGTACACACCTGATGGCATCTTTGGGGACTTAGATGCTTCCAAATATGTTGTGAATTTCTTGACAGTTATGCTGCAGACCTGTTTTTCCTGTCTCATAGAAACATTTGAAGAGGGAAGAGGAATACATCAGGAGCTCAACAGGTGCAGACACCTTGAGGTCTTGGCCTTTGGGTAGCCAGAGTAAGCATGCCCTGTGGACCAAAGTCCTCAGAGCCTGCTGCACTTTCTGGGGGCAACTCGACTGGCCATTTGCCCTGCAGTTTGCATCAGTGTAGGCACAGATGAAACTGAATTAAAACACGGTGGCTGCTTGATGTAAAGCTCACTGAGGGGAATGAATCACCTCTGGTTCAGCTGGCAGAGGTGCTTTAATTTTGTTCAGATTCACTGGCATTGCTCTTCTCCACTTCCTGCCCTATGTGATCACCTGATCCAATGCAAAAGGGTGCCTGCAATAGTGTCAATTCCCCTTGGCCAAGCACAGTGTTCCTTTTTCATTTTTTAATGGTTTCCAATAGACATGGGATATTTGTTTATGTTTCCCTGGGTGATACAAATACGAATATCAGTACCAGAGGTGCCACAGAAATCACCATCTCTTGGCATAGATATAGTCCCTTTTTTAAAAAAAACCTCTCCACTAGGAATTATGTGGTATAAATGTGAGTTGGCAAATCTGTGCTAGGGCAGCAAGTGGGACCTGTCACCGAAATGGTATTACAAGTTGAAAGTTAGGGACTTATAAGCTCTTTGTAAAACCTAGGTCTTTGAGGGGTTTGCAGTCCCATTCAGATGATAAATGATTTCAGCAACATACCTGAAATGAGTCTGAAAACCAAGGCCACCTTGAGTCAGCTTAAAAAGCCTTTTAAACTGAACGTCACCACTAAGACTTCTCATGTCCACTTATGTTATGTAAACACGGGATAAATTGCTGTTCTCATAGAAAAGGCCTCCAGGGAAGTAACAAAATCATATTTAAAATGAATATGGCTGTGCTTTTATTAATATTGTTATTAGTTCTTGTTTCTCTTTCTCCACGTTTGTCTAGTCCTGTTCTCTCTTCTCTCTAACGAGGTATACATGTGTGTACAGCAAATGCTGTATGCACACATGACAAATACTGGTGTGTTTTTCTATGTTGTCTCATGTTATTTTCTCTGCTCTACTGCAGTTCTGGTAAACAAAAGAGATATCATCTTTCTTTTGGATGGATCAGCCAACGTTGGAAATGCCAACTTCCCATATGTCCGTGACTTTGTTGTGAACCTAGTAAACTCTCTTGATGTGGGAATTGATGATATACGAATTGGCCTAGTGCAATTTAGTGAAAACCCAAAAACTGAATTCTTTTTAAACAGTTTCCTAACCAAGGCAGATGTACTTGCTCATCTGAGGCAGTTGAGACTCCAAGGGGGGTCAGTTCTGAATACTGGCTCTGCACTCGACTTTGTTCTTTCAAATCACTTCACTGAAACCGGTGGGAGCAGAATAGCTGAAAATGTTCCTCAGGTGCTAGTCCTCCTTGCAGCAGGGCCATCTGTCGATTCATTCCAACAGGCAGCCAATGCTTTAGCTCGTGCAGGCATCCTGACCTTTTGCATTGGTGTTAGAAATGCAGATCTGACAGAACTTCAGCAGATTGCATTTAATCCGCAAATAGTATATTTTAAGGATGAATTCAGTGCTCTGGCAGATTTACCACAAGGACTGATTACACCACTGACAACGTATGTTAGTGGTGAGGTGGAAGAAGTTATAATCACGTCAGCAGGTAATTTTCCCTCTTCTTCACTTTTTATGAATTTAAGAATGATTCTTTTAATTGTGCAGGTATATTTTGAGTGACATACAATCCAAGTGTCTTAGAAGTGAACACACTGTGATTTGTTAAATAAGAAAAATGTTTCTTCTGTTCACAGAAAATGGACATTTCTCATATATTGCCAGATGTAATTGATCACAATATCCCTCATATGTCAAATCCCAGAAGGAATTTTATGAAAAAGCTCTTAGGGCTGTTTCACACATATAGTCCAGAGATTAGAAAAGTTAGGCTTTGTGAACCTTATTTCCTCATATTCCCCAGCTAGGCCTTCACATCCCAAAAAGTAATTTTCTAAGCTCTGCATTTTTCCTGTAGAGGATATTTAAGAAACAAGGGATTGCCAGTGTATACTCTGTATAGTGTTATACATAATAATTGCAGATTTGTTTATTTTACTATGTGGAATTCCTTGAGAAGCCACAATTAATAAAACAGACATACAATCTTCATGCACAAGCTGTATATACTCCAGTTTTTTGTAAAGCCAAATTTTCTAGTTCTTTTTTCTCTTCGTGGTGCTTTGGAAAACAAATAGGATTTTTTTTCTAGAGGAAAACAATGCACAGGAGATATACCTGCCACTTTTACCTTTATTTTAATAGATGTATCCTTTGCTTGTTCCATACATTATCCATTATTTCTCATTTTAATCATTCAACTGGTATGATTCTCTTCATTTAAAAAAATTACACTGCTTTACAAATCAAAGTGAAGATATAACCAGCCTGTTCTGATAGCATAAATGATTAAACGTTAATTAAATCCAAGGAGATAATATCTACCAAAACTGTTGATCACTCGGGGTCTTTCCAAGTAAGACCCAAAGAACAGAATAAGAGTGTTTGGGGATCTCTGCTGCAGCCTGATTACTGACTGGCACTCATTACAGGGGGCATGTAACCCCCTTATTACAACAACTTCCCAGCTCAATTCAAAGTGCTGGTTATTACCTAGAAAACCCTACATTGTATAGCTTGGGTCAGGCTATTGGAAGGATCATATCACCACATATGAAACTACTAGGCTTTTAAGATATTTTGGGGGTGCTCTTCTCTCAGTCTGACCACCTTCTCCAACTCATTTGCTAAGGATGTGAGAGAGGGCCTTTTCAGGGTTGCTCCCAGTGTATGGAATGCACTGCTCCGAGAAGCCAGGTTGCCCGCCTGTCCTTGACCTGCCATCATCAGGCAAAGACCTTCCTTTTCAGGCAGCCTTTTATGAGATATGTTTTTAGGGAACACTCTATTTTTTTTTAAAAAAAGCAAAGACCTTTCTTTTCAGGCAGCCTTTTATGAGATACGTTTTTAGGGAACATTCTATTTTTTAAAAATTAGATTTTTAAAAAGTTTTTTTAATGTATTCAAAATTGTTTTTAATCCTGAGCAATGTTTTAAGTTGTTTTTCATATACAGTTTTGTACAGCATTTTAACTTATTATTGTATGATTTTAATTGTTGTGAGCTGCCTTGGGCTCCCTATGAGGAGAAAGGTGACATATAAACAAAACAAAAACAAAACAAAGTAAAATAAAGTAAAATAAGGAACAAGGAAAAATGTGCTACTGAAGGAAACTGAAGGAAACATGACTTCCGTGACAAGGGAGCTAAAACTGAGAAGGTGCTTGGTCATCCTCCACATACATAGTGGACTATTAGTTGGACTTCCTCCAAAAATCTCAGACGCCAGCCTGGATCTTATAGGAAGAGGCAAATCTTAACAAATTCTGGGCCCTGAGCTTTTTAGTGCATTAGTTCAGAGCAATACGTTTGAAGTCATCTTAGAAACAAATGCCAGTGAAGATCACAGATTATATACATACTGTAACTCTGGCTTCATATGCTGCTTGGTAACTAAGCATCAGCATGTTGCCACAGTCATCTTCAAGTCTGCATACAGTGTATTTCAGTAGTTCAAACATGAGGGTAGTAAGGCATGGATCACTGAAGCCTGGCTAGCCAGATCTATGAAGCGAACGATGTAATCCTAATAATTATAGAACTACACAGCTGGGAGGGGCCCTATGGATCATGGAATCCAGCCCCTGTCAGGGAGGCACAGTGGGGAACTCTCAACCTATGGCTCCACAGCCAGATACTTAAACCACTGAGCTAAGCTAGCCATAGTGAAAGGTCACTGGTGGCCAACGTAGCCATTTAGGCTTTCAGTGACAAAGTTGAATTGAGGAGTACCCCAAGCTACATTGTCTGTTCGTTCAGAGAGAAATTACCTCTATCCAGAAAAGGCTGTTTCCCTTTTTCAAAAAAAGTATAAGCATACAAGGTGGTAAGCTCTTCCGGTGCTACTCTACGAAAGCAGTACTATGGGAAGCAGAACCACCATAACCTCAACTTCTACCTCACAGAGCCCTTCCAGTCTGAAACTTCCTCCTCCACTGTCATTTCCATATCTCTTCAACACATCAAGAGCAATGAGTCTTGAAGATGAGATCTTCCACGATCTGTAGATCATATCTATGTGAATTGGTGCCTTGATTTTCTAGAGTTCCACTCGTATGAAGAGCCTACATGGATAGCAGAGACTATCCCTATATAGATGTGTTGTTCTCCATGTGTAGGGGGATTTTGAAAGTGATGATGGAGGAGGCAGAGCTAGAACACTCCTGTCTATAATAATAACTGAATAGGAATATTATTGTGACTAGTTCCTTTTACTTCATTCATTTATTATTTCATGGAGAGACATATACAAGCATCATTCAGATAAGCAAGCAATCCTGATGTAGTTTACCACATTGGAGAGAAATCATATACAGTATTTTATGAGTAACTGGACAAAAAAAAGGAAGGCAGAATTCCTATGCTTTTAAGAGTTCTGTAGAGGAAGACATTTCATCCGGTACAGCTTATACTAAAGCCTGCATCAACTGAAATTTCCTCTTCTAAACACCTATTAAGCATAGAAGAACCCTTTCCTCTTTTATAGCTGATCACCCTACTGTAAAGGCAATATTGCTTTTGCTAAGATGGCAATAGTATTACTCATTGAAAGAAAATGGAGTTAGTTTTTAGTTCCACATGAATTATAGATAATACCGTCATGCCAGTGCTTGTCTTAAATTCCATTTTGGGAAAATGGTTGGGACCTAATTACTGAGGCAGCCCATTACAAGCTGTGTGCACCTTGAAATCAATTTCCAAGCACTGGTATAGGTCCCTAACCATGCCATTAGGCTAGTGAGTGCAAGAGGGAGGGCTTTTTCTCAGTGGTAGCCTCACATTTGTGAAACTCTTCTTCCATTGGCCAGTTAAATATTTACAAACTGTGAAATTAATGGATTTATTGTCCCTATCTCATCTCATTTTTGCAATGTTGTGTGTACTGCTTCACTCCAAAATGTGTTTAGCCAGTCCTGCCACATTTTGGCTCTCTCTCTCTCTCATATTTGACTAGGAGGAATCCTGGATGTCTACCCCACCCCTTAGTTCACTACTATTCTACACTTTTCTATAGTGAACCTATGGATCCATGATTCTGTGCTACACTATTATTTTAAAAGATCTATCACTTTTATTTTAATCAAAGAAAGGCCCACAAATAAAATTATTATTTCTGCCTAATCAAAATTGTTATGGTTTATTATTTTTCATACAGTATGTAAGATGAAGTGAAAGAGAGCATTTATTAACTCTTCATAACTCTTAATTTCAGAAAACAAGATTGATATCTTATTCTTATTTGATGGCTCATCAAACCTTGTGGGTCAGTTTCCTACTGTTCGAGACTTTTTGCACCGAATTATTTCTGACCTAAACGTGGGGCCTGATGCCATACGTGTTGCTGTGGCACAGTTTAGTGACAATGTGCAAGTTGAGTTCAACTTTCAAGACATTCCATCCAAGCAAGAAATCCTTCAGAAAGTGAAACGGATGAAGATAAAAGGAGGAAGGATACTCAACATTGGTGCTGCACTAGATTATGCCATGAAGGACCTCTTTGTGAGGCATGCTGGGAGCAGGATTGAAGAAGGAGTGCCCCAGTTCCTTGTCCTCCTTGCCGCTGGAAGATCAAGTGACAGTGTGGCTGAGTCTGCTGATGCTCTGAAACGAGCGGGTGTTGTTACTTTTGTTATCAAATCCAGGATCGCAGATCCCGTAGAATTAGAAAGGATTGTATATGCCCCTCAGTTCATTTTAAGTGCTGACTCCCTTTCTAGAATTGGAGACATTCAACCTGAGATAGTCAACCTTCTGAAAACCATTCAGCTCAGACAACCAGGTATCTCTCTCTCTCTCTCTGCAGCAGATATGTTTGTCTGTCTTTGAAAAATACACTGCCTCTGACTTATATAAAAATGCTGACCTTCTAGATAAGTGTTTCTCAACCCAGATGTTCTTGGATTATAACTTCCAGAAATCCTAGCCAGCACAACTATCAGTGAAGACTTATGGGAGTTTTAGTCCAGTACATCTGAGGGCCCAAGGTGGGAAACGATTGTTCTAGAATATACTGGAAGCGATTAGGAACAACTTTAATAAAAGGTAACACTGAATGGCATAAGACAGTATTGCGTTTGGAACTGGGACAGTCTGCAAACAGATTCCCCAGTTTGGAAATGTCAGCTTCCTTATGAGCTGTGCCCAAATCTGTCATGAAGTTCAGGCCCAGCATACAACTGTTTGATACCTGCTGCTTCCCTTTGCAAAAACCATCACCACCCTAATGGGGGATCCTGGCAGTGTGGAAACTTGCGTGGATACAGGACAGATTGCACAGGCCCCATCTTTATTGCCCAGATACTGCTGAGAACATTAAAGAGTACCTTTTGTCACAGACGTGTATGGGATCTGTAGGTTTCCACATGTTCTGACTCATCCTTTCAGCATTCTAAACAGCAGCTTAAACAGCCCATATATTGCACCTATTTTCTCTCAACTGTTAGAGCAGAAGAAGTGAAGACAAATGTTAACACACATTTTTTAAAAAAATAATAATCTCAATCTCATTTATTTTTCTCTCCTCTCTTTTACGTTTCTCTAACAGTTGATGACGCTCAGAAGAAGGATGTGGTGTTTCTAGTAGATGGTTCGGATGGCACCAGACGTAGTTTCCCAGAGCTGAAGTCCTTTCTACAAAGAATGATTGAGAATCTGGATGTTGGCCCTGATAAGGTTCGGGTTGCATTGGCCCAGTACAGTAACACTGTCAACCTGGAGTTCCCTCTGAATGAGTATTCAGACAAGACTGATGTGATCAGGGCCATCCAGAAAGTGTCTGCCATGGGAGGCTTGCCAGTTAACACAGGAGCTGCCCTGAACTATCTTCTTAGAAATGTACTCACAAGCCAGGCTGGGAGCAGGATGGAATACGGTGTCCCACAGTTCATTATCCTGCTGACGGCTGAAAAGTCAAGAGATGACGTCAGGAGGCCTGCCATAGATCTGAAGACCAGGGGCGCTGTGCCTTTTGGCATTGGATTTGGAAATGCAGATATTACTGAGCTGAGGACAATTTCCTTTGTTCCTGATTTTGCGGTCCTTGTTTCTGGTGTCAGTGAACTGAGCACTGTACAGCAGCTCATTTCAGAAAGGGTCACACGACTAAGCAAAGCAGAACTAGAAGCTTTGGCTCCAGGATTACCTGATCCACTCCCCAGCCCAGGTGAAGAAAAAAAATCTCAACTATTGAAGCTATGCTATATCAAACTGCAGGCAATCGACACCCATAGAACAAATAGCTATGAGAAAAAACAGGCAGTGGTGCAAGAAGGAAGCATTCTGTTTCAGTGGGCACTATCCAGTTACAATCAGATACACACTAAGCCAGGATCTTGTTAGAGTCTCTTTTGGCTTTTCTAGTCATTGCTTTCAAACAAAATAATGCAAACTTTTGTGAATAAAATTCATTTCCTCTGACTTAAAGTAGAAAAAATTATGCCTGGCAGATCATCTCTGCCATAAACATATTGGGACTTTCATTCATAATTTTTCTGTTCTAAACTTGAGGAAGTGAATTTTATTCACAAAAGTTTGCCTTTAATGTTTGATTTTTTTTGGTGGTCTAAATAAATGTATCAGCTCTTCTACTTTTGAATCTCCATTTCTCTGCCCACAAATATGCTGGAGAATGTCAAAACAATACTTACGCACACATTTAGTTTAGATTTCTAAAGTGAAGAGTCTTCAGATATTGTATCTACTATTCAGAATAGACTTGATGTGGATGCATGTGCATATGCATGTTGAGTGCATGTTATATGTTTTAGGTGGAAAGATTACTTTCCAAACATGACCTGATGGTGTTAATGCATTATCTATGACCTGGTAGACTTTTTGGGAGTCCCATGTTAGTAAGTAATAATGATGTTACCAGCGCTTGTTTGTTTCTTGAGTACTCAGGACCAAAAATGCTACTTTAAGAGTATAATGAAATTAATTCCACAAAGTTCCTTCTCCCCCACAAAGAGTAATTGTGAGTTTCTATTACTCTTTAGCATTTATCTTGAGTCTGGAAGGGTGGTAGTGTTTCTGTTTTGGGTTTGTTTGTTTTTTAACAAGAACTGACCTGTGCCAAGTTACAGAAGCAAGGAACCTTGTTTGTTGTTCCTCTGACTTTAGCACACTTCAAGATGTGTGGGAGGTTTTATCCCCCACTTCTTCAATTGCCTGGAGCATCTCAAGTCTCTTTAGGTTGTACAGGATGTGTGGCTAGTTGTCTTGCACACTTCCTTCAGTATGATGAAGTTGTTGTGGAAACAACAGACAAAGTTTAGCTCTGATCTGAGCAGGGTGGGGACTGTATTCTACAGGGGAAAAAATTAGAACAGGATACTAATGTAGTGTGAAAGTAGCAAGTTACTTTTAGATCCAGTTTAATGATAATAAATTGTGAGTAGAGATCCTTGTGGAATAATGGAGCTAATTACTTTCAAGGTAATATCCCAAAGTCTGGAACATCTACCATGCAGTTATTTCATGCTGACACAGAGCAATGAGGAAGGCTGATGGGTTCCAGGACGAGTTTCTATCCTTTGTGGTCAGATAGGGAAAAATGGCTGCTAATCATGAATTCTGATTATAGAATACAGCAACACTGAAAAGTAGCCCTAACTCTAGTCACTGCCTGAATAGGTTGAATAGATTTTGTTTGCCTAATGAGAACCCCATGAGATATTAATTTATGTGTACCTTTAAAATGTACAGTTTTAAAAAAATGAAATTGGCCAGTATCCTTTTCCATACAGGCTTGCAAGCCATGAGACAAAGTCACACTCAACCTGACATTGAATCAGGAACTTTTTGATTAACAGCAATCCTCTACTCCTGGTGACATCACTCCTACTATGCCAGTATACAAGCACTATACCTTGCTTTGTCCTAGTTTCATCTGCAATCTTTCTTTCTTCTACAGGAGATGGAAAAAAAGATGTGGTATTCCTTATTGATGGCTCCCAATTTGCAGCTCCTGAATTCCCTTCTGTTCGTGAGTTTATTGAAAGGCTTGTAAACAGTTTGAATGTAGGTTCTGATAACACTCGGATAGCTGTAATTCAGTTCAGTGAAGATCCCAGGGTTGAATTTCTGCTGAATGCACACTCCACCAAGGATGAGGTGCAAGCTGCAGTGAGAAGGCTAAGACCCAAAGGAGGAAGACAAGTGAACCTTGGTTCTGCCCTTGAGTATGTATCGAAGAATATCTTCACAAGGCCTTCAGGAAGTCGTATAGAAGAGGGTGCACCACAGTTTTTGATCCTTCTGTTTTCTCGCCAATCTGATGATGATGTAGAGGACCCAGTACTCCAAGTCAAACAAGTTGGTGTGGCTCCCCTTACTATTGGAAAGAATGTGGATCCTGAGGAAATGGTCAAAATAGCTCTTAGTCCTGAGTATGTATTCCAGGTGTCAACCTATCAGGATCTTCCTAGCCTTGAACAGAAATTAATAGCCCCTATTACAACTCTGACTACACAGCAGATACAGAGGCTCATTGGTGATACAAGTCTCTCTCCAGGTAAGGATGGTTTGTACTGTGATTCCTATGAATAATCATTGCCAACGGTCTTCAGCCATCCAGTTCTCCCTGCTGCTGGGGAAATTTCCTACCTGGGCCTTTGTTACAGCAACTAGCACAGAGTTGCACCAGTCCCAAGATCTCTAAAGAGTTCTTAAAAAGATTCTGAAAGAAGAACATACTGTAACGTTTCCTCATCCCCAGGATTGGTAAACAGAGTTCTTAATTCTCTGTGGGTTCTTATTCTGCACTTGGGCGGGAATAAACGCAAGCAACCAGTAATTGTCACTTTCTTGAGTCAAGTCTAATTCCATGTTTATGTATATTTTAGTGTGCATGAATTTTCAGCTCTGAAACATACAGGTCGGATAAGAATAGTTATTTCTGTGTCCAAAGGCTCTTCTCTCCTTATTCCTCATAAATAAATTATAGGATCGCAGACCGCCAAGGGTGATTGAGTCCACCCTTGCTGGAGCAAGAAATCTACAGCTAAAGCACCTCCATAAGTTTGCCATCCAGGCTCTGTTCAAAAGTCGTCAATGAAAGATGGTTCCAAGATACTCTGTTCCACTGCAGATCAGCTCACATTGTCAGAAAGTTCTTAATATTCAGTCAAAACTCTAATTTTTCTAATTTGAATTAATTAGTTTGGTTCCTGTCCTCTTGAGCTGCAGAAAACATGCTTGATCTATGACAGCCCTTCCAGCACTAGAAGATGGCTACGATATTATCTCTCGGTCCTTTCCAGGTTAAATATATCTGGCTTCCTCAACTGTTCCTGATAGAAGTTGCTTTCCAGAACTTTTGCCACGTCATAGCTATCTACCACTGGACATGTTCCAGCTTGTAAATATCCTTCTTAAACTGTGGTCCAGAACTGGACACTGCTCCATTTGCTATGACCTTTCTGGAATCAACTTGAGAATATCCTTCTTAAACTGTGGTCCAGAACTTTCTGGAATCAACTTGAATTGATAAACGTCATCTATCCCTTACTTACATTGCGCCTTGGCTACTGCACTAGGTCTACCTTTGAAAACAGTTTGGGATCTTCAGCTAGTGCTACATGCAGCAGATAGAACAGTATCAACACCATGTAACCCTGATTCTGAAAAGCCTGCATAGGTTGCTAGTTGCTCACTGGTCCAATTCAAGGTGTTGAACCTTCCAAGCACTAAATAGCCTTGGGACCATAATGTGTAAGCAACCTCCTATTTTGTTATCTGTTTAGTTGCTAACATCTTCAGAAGCCATCTTGAGAACAACAAAGGCTATGGAGACCCACTTGACAAGCAGAGAGAGAGGACTTTCTGTTGTGTAGCCCCCAGATAGAGGAATGTTTTTTTTCTTCAGAATTGTCGCCTGTTTCCATTTGCACTGCTTTTAAGAAAGAAGGGGAAGAATCTTTTTATATTGGTATAAAGTATTGTATGATTTATTATGATAACTTTACCTGTATCCTTAAATCATTTTAATGCTTTCTTTGATTGTGTGTGGTTCTACTTCATTGCTATGATACATTTTTAAATGGTTTGATGATGAATATAAGCCAGCTTGTTAGAATACTGACATTAGAAAATGTATATTTTCAAACTTGAAATGCGGAAGTACTTCAGAAGTCTAGTCTGTGCAAACTAGGTGATAATGTAGACAGTCTGTGCCTGGCTGTGGAGTCAAACTGCATGTGAAGTTATATATGTAGCTAATATGCATGGTGCTTTTTAAAATGCATATTGCATCTGCCAAAGGTTGGAAAGTTAATATTTATTGGAATGAGGGCAGGCAGGGGCAGGGAATTTAATCCTGCCGCCTCTTGCTTTGTTTTTGAGGAAAATACCTCTTCTGATGCTTGCATGCATGCACGCATGTGTGTGTGCGTGCGTGCACACGCACACACACACACACACACACACACACACACAGGCACACACAGAGGTATACTCCAGTAGATCAACTGTATGTTGAAGGATCTGTGTGTCTTTCTGTACTCCTGCACATAGAAAAGGAGTGACTATAGTTCAGAAACAGGTTAGTATGCCATACCTGTTGTTTGTAAAGTTGCCTTTTTCAACCATCCTTCTCATGAGACCAGACTATCTCAGACAGCAGGGCCCAGGGGCAATGAAAGTGCTGGTCTGGCACCTTGCCCCCATTGCCACCCCAGGATGGTAACACCTACTCTCCAAAGCCAACCCTTTCCCCCCTTTCATCTTTCTATAGATGAAGTGGAGGTAAGTGGTGGTTCTCAAGGCTCTCTGTAGGAAGGAATGGCACCTTTGCTACTTTGTTACCACCAAATTAATTGGAGGAGAAAGGGAAGAGAATGACACAGCAGTAACCACTAGGACCTCACCCCCCACATGCCATTGGAGGAGACTGAGGCAGCAGTACGTCTCAGGGCCAGCTCTACAAAGAACGGCCTAGTTTTCTTGAATGCCTGCCTTCATGTGTAGCTATCCTTGGGAAGAACTGTTACCTCATCCTCCAGTGGCATGAAGGGGTACCATCATATTACTCTGCGTGCAATGTGTATGAAGGTGGCTGTTTGCTTCTTCATTCTTCCAGTGGGGGAGGGGGAGGGAGGCTTTAAATCACTTTATATTGGCCTGCCTACCTCAGCACTGCTGTTGCAATCCAGATTGTTTTTGATATATTCAAAGCATATACTCTCTTGTGTGAAATGAAGCCCAGGGTCACTCCTGTTTCCTCTACTTTTTCTCTCTTTGCAGATATTGATAGTGAAGCAAAGGACATTGTCTTCCTTATCGACAGTTCTAACAATGTCAGAGAGAATGGCCTTGCTCACATTCGAGACTTCATTATTCGGATTGTCCAGCAGTTAGATGTTAGACCAAGCAAAGTGAGAATTGGTGTGGTCCAGTTCAGCAACGATGTATTCTCAGAGTTCTTCTTAAAAACCTACCCGACCAAGGATGCTGTGTTGCAAGCCATACGCCGCTTGCGGTACAGAGGTGGTGCTCCCTTGAATGTTGGGAAAGCTCTGGATTTTGTCATGAAGAACCACTTTGTTAAATCTGCAGGGAGCAGGCGAGAAGATCAAGTTCCGCAGCATTTAGTTCTCTTGCTTGGAGGGAGCTCCCAGGATGACATCGGAAGACCTGCCACTGTGCTGCAGACATCTGGGATTAAAAGCTTGGGCGTAGGGGCAAGAAATGTAGACAGTGCGGAACTGCAAAGGATAACCAACGATCCCAGGACAGCATTTATTGTGAAAGAGTTTAACGAGCTTCCAGCCATAGAGAGAAGGTTCTTTGCATCATTTGGAGAACCTCAAGAATTACCAATAGAACCAACTGAAACTCCTATTGGTCAGTCTTTCATCTCAAAATAAGACTTTTCAGTTATAACAGTGAGGATAATGCATTTTTAATGGAGATAAGATATAAAGACGATATGTGCACATGGGACAGAATACTCATACAAGGCAGAACTAAACATCTCTTTACACTTACTCTTTTTACTGCCTCTTTTCTTTTGGTTCCCCCACACAAAGACCAAATGCCTCTTTTATACAAAACAGGGTAGTAAGTCTGTTCCTTTAGCTATGGAACTGTGGCAAGAAAAAGCAAAACTCAGGCAGCAGACAAGGTTCTTTTTATTGTCTTCCATTTTAATGAGGACAATAAAAGGAGGCCACACACATCTTACTAGCTTCCCATTGTTTACAGTGGGAATTATTGCTTCCAGTTTAGGTAGGATGATATTTTTAGGCATTCTGTGGCTTTGCAAAGAATCAACCCAGTCACATTTCAGACAGGCAAGGTAAAGATTGTCCCTTTTGTATCACTCAGTGTTAGCTACTCCCTCTCTCAATTCCTTCAATTTCTCTGACATTTCTATGAAATGTGGTGTTAGCTACTCCCTCTCTCAATTCCTTCTCTGACATTTCTATGAAATGTACAAGATATATTTCAGCCCATATCCCATAGCTCCATATACTTTAATGAGACAAAACAAAATACAACAAACAAAACAAATGGAAATTTCTCCACCCCCCCACACATTTTTGTTGCTATTTGTTAGCATTATAGAAATAGAGAAGAAATTAGGCTCAGTCATAGAGCTTTTCATCTGTTTTAAAAACAATGTCATGCCCTACTATAAGAGTGGGCATAATGCAGTCTTCTAGAAGACGATGGGTGCAACTCCAGCATTCCTTATTATTGCATACGTTGCCATGCCTAGGCCTGGGGAATTGCCATCCAACAGCTATATTTTATAATGCATAGAATCATAGAATAAGAGTTGGAAAGGGCCTATAATGCTATCAAGTCCAAGTCCAACCTCAATGCAGGAATCCAAGCCAAAGTATATCTGACAGCTGTCTAATTTTTCTTGAACGCCTCCAGCTTTGGAGTGCTTACTACCTTCTGAGGTAATTGGTTCCATTGTTATGCTTCTGTAACAGACAGCTTTTCCTAATATTCCACTGGGTTTCTGTAACTTGAGTCCATTATTACATGTCCTGCACTCTGAGATTATTGAGAACGGATAGTGTATCTCCTCTGTATGAAACTCTTTGTAGGTCTGACGTCTCTGAAAGTTGATTTTTTTTTTTTTGGTTTTTGGTTTGGCTGTTAAATTTTTCACTATAACTTTAGTTTTTTTCTTTGTTTATCTTCAATCCTGCTACTTACCCGAATTCATCAATTTTCTCCAGTAGTCTCAATGTTGTTTCTAACAGATCTTCCAAAATAAACACTAAGTCATCTAAACTCTTTGTAGGTCTGACGTCTCTGAAAGTTGATTTTTTTTTTTTTGGTTTTTGGTTTGGCTGTTAAATTTTTCACTATAACTTTAGTTTTTTTCTTTGTTTATCTTCAATCCTGCTACTTACCCGAATTCATCAATTTTCTCCAGTAGTCTCAATGTTGTTTCTAACAGATCTTCCAAAATAAACACTAAGTCATCTACGAATGCTTGTAATTTGTAATTCTCGTCCTTTATTTTGGTGCTTTTGATTTCTGGATCATTCCTCACATCCTATTTAATACTTCCAAAGTTAATATGAATAACAATGGAGAGAGCGGACAGCCATTTCTAGTGCCTTTTTTATATTAATATTATCCATCAATTCACCATTTACAATTATTTTAGCTATTTGTTCATTATATATTGTCTCAATTACATTTATGAAGTTTTTGTCAAAATCCATAGCTTTTATTTGCTGTATCATAAATTACCAATTCATATTATCAAATGCTTTTTTGGGCATCCAGAAAGATTAATGCCATTTGTTTCTCTGTACGCACCTCATAATATTCTAATGTGTCTAAGATTATCCTTAGGTTGTACCTTGTCTTTTTGGCAAAAATCCATTTTGGTCTGAATGGATTAACTCCATTAAAAAAATTTTCAGTCTTTCTGCTATAATTACTGCAAAGATTTTATAGTACACATTCAATAATGATATTGGTCTAAAAATTTTTGTATGTGCATAGTCCGTATCTTCTTTTGGTATTAGGGTGATATATGCCTCTAGCCATGTCTTGAGTATTTTAGCTTCTAATAGAACTTCGTTGCAGACCTCTTTTATTGGTAAGCTTAATATATCTTGGAAGGATTTATAAAATTTCACTGGTAATCCGTCTGGTCCTGGGATCTTATCATTTTTTTTTGTTGTTTCACTGGTAATCTGTCTGGTCCTGGGATCTTATCATTTTGTTGTTGTTTTTCTTAATGGCTTCTATTACTTCCATCATTGTTATTTTCTCATTTAGGAGACTTTTAATGTTTTCTGGTACTTTAGGGGGGTTTGCTTTTTCGATATATTAAATTTTTTTTTCCAAGGGAAAATTCTTGAGTATCATACAGATCAGCATAATATTCTTTAGTTGTTTTTTATTTTCTCTTTTTGATATTATAAGTCTCTATTTTCATCTTGTAGCTTCCTTATTAATCTTTTTCGTTTTTCTTTTTTCAGTCTGTAGGATAGCCATCTTCCAGGTTTGTTGGCATTCTCAAAGAAATTCTGTTTAGCCCTTTTAAGTTGTTGAGTTAATTCTTCTGATTCTAATAAGTTTAATTTATGTTTCACTATCTCCATCTGTTTTTTTAAGAATTTTTTTCTGCAGTTCTTTTTGTAGTTCTAGTTCCAGTTTCTTAAAGTCTTCCTTCAGTTTTGTAAGTTGTTGGGTTTTTTTCTTTATTCCTTTTGGCTATATATATATGAATGATATGGCTAATGCTCTGAAATATGCTTTAGCCATGTCCCATAATCCTCTGAAATATGCTTTAGCCATGTCCCATAATCCTCTGAAATATGCTTTAGCCATGTCCCAAATTGTTTGGAGGAATGTCTCCTCTTTTTTATTTTCTTTGAAGAAGAATTCTATTTATTTTCTAGTTCTTTCCACAAATTCTTTATCCTTCAATATTCCCAACAACAATATTCACAACAAAACTTGCCCAACAACACTCTTCATGATCTTGCTAACCAATCTCAAATGACAAAATTAGGACAAATAACAAAATTAGATCCCTTTGTACTTCTGACTTGACAGAGATGCTGCATTTTCACCCTTCAAGCAGATAGCTGAAATTCATTTTAATCCTGAATTAGCTATTTTGCATCAGTGCTCTAAATCCCATGGTAATTCCCAGCTAGAGTAAACTCAGTAAATCAATAGGACATCCTTATGTACTGAACATGTCACATTCCCATTCATTCAACTGAACTTTTTTATTTAGGAGTAACCATTGCATTAGGGACAATATATTTACCACATTTTCTTTGGCTCATACAGTCTGGATGCTGGTGCTATCAAGAGCAAAGGAAAAATGAATGAGCAATTAGTGATATTTGGATGTTGCCAAAAGAGGATTGTATTATTCAATTACTTTGCTCCATTTTTTGTATTTAACAGGGGTTCAGACAACATACTCTTCCATTTGTTGCCTCGCTATGTATTCTTTTGTCTTTTTTATTACCACAAAATATCTATTAAAGAAAGAAAAATGATTTTGCTGGTTGTTGAACTGAAGCAAAGAAAATCCAAGAAAATAATGCTTCACCAAATACTTTAACACTTTTCTCATCTTTCTTCAAATCTTTCAGATGGTAAGAAACAAGGAGATGTTGTTTTTCTTTTGGATGGCTCCATCAACTTTGGAAAAGATAATTTTCAAGAAGTTGTTGATTTTGTATATGGCATAATTGATGCCATTTATGAAGAAGGCGACTCCATTAAAGTTGGCATAGCACAGTACAACTCAGATGTGAATGATGAATTCTTCCTGAAAGATTTCACTGACAAAGAACAGATCTTAGATGCAGTGAAGAGAATTGTATACAAAGGAGGAAGAATTGCAAATACTGGATCAGCCATCAAGCACATCCAAGCAAAGCACTTTGTAAAGGAAGCTGGGAGCAGGGTGGATCAGAAGGTCCCTCAGATTGCTTTTATCATAACAGGAGGCAAGCCAGAAGATGATGGGCAGGCAGCTGCTTTAGCATTGGCACGGTCAGGTGTCAAAGTGTTTGCAGTTGGTGTGAAAAACATTGACCTGAGTGAAGTTTCGAAACTCTCCAGTGACAGCACCACAGCTTTTAGGGCTGCAACTGCGCAGGAACTTTCAGAATTGAACGAGGCGGTGTTGGTTACATTGAACGATGTAATGAAGGAACAGTTGTGCCGAGGTGTGGGAGAAGTCTCAAGAGGTAACATTTGAAGCATTTAGGGTATTTCTATGTTTTCCTGTTTCTATTCTCAAGTGCCATTACTATGTATGGATTATTTCTTCTTTTACCACCAGTTTTAGCAATTCATGTTTTTTCTAAAGACATGTGGAACTAAACAGTTACATGATCTAGACTGAAATAATATTTTGCATTGTTATTTCCAAGTACTCAGACTATTTCACTTGCATTCCCATTTTGAAGTCTTTACAACAACCTATAAAGGTTTGTGATGTTATTATCCCATATTTCACATACATAACAAGAAAGTAGAATTAGAGGGTGAGGCATTAATTTCAGCAAACTAAGAAACATAGAAGCCACCATGAAGATGCCCCCCAGCAGATATGTGACAGACATTCTGTGACATACATGTATCTTAGCAATTACTGCCATGCTAGAGTAATAAGAAATCATTCCGCCTGTTAATTTCCACACTCAAGATGGCAGTGCCCAATATTACACTAGTAGTGCTGTCTTTGCATAAGGCAGAGTGTGCATAATACTACATCCAAACACCACATGTCCAGTCTTAAGGGATACTAACTGAGATAGGATTGGAAATTTATTGATAAGGCACGTATGAAAGAACGGAAGGAGATAAAAGAGTCAGAATCAATGGTCTTTGTTCATTATCAGAGTGTTGCACAATTTAAAATTATGGACACATACAGGGAAAAATTAAAAACAAATAAAAATGTGAGAAATTATTGCCGTTTGAGGTCCTAAAAGGGTTAGGGTTAGGGTTTGCTCATCAAGAACTTTGCAATGGAAATGCACTTCCTTCTGGAAGTGAAGGATTGGCTTGTTATACACCACTGTACAGGGGACACCCAAGTGTATTCATAATGCTTTCCCACTTTTGATAAGATACAGTACATCTTTAGTAGGTATTGTTACTAATGAACTGGAAGTCAGCTCAAACCTCTTCACCATTAGTGAACAACAAAAGAAGAGCACTAACTCTAGGGCTGTGGTGAGTAAATGTGACATAAAACATTTTCCTATTCCAGAAAATGTGTATAGATTTCATATCATAAATATAAATGCCATTCAATTCAGCCCCTATTCGCTGTACAATGGAGTTGCATTTTTATCTATTATAGATTGCAGTCTGGATGTTATACTTGGATTCGATGTCTCAGATGTTGGACCTGGGCAAAATATATTCACTGTACAGAGAGTGCTGGAGTCAAAGGTTGAAGACATACTGAACAGGATTACTCAAATGCAGAAAATTAGCTGTACACGCAACCAGGCACCTACTGTGCGTGTGGCCCTTCTGGCACAAACACCTTCTGGAGTTGTAGAAGCATTTGACTTCTCTGAGTACCAACCAGAGTTGTTTGAAAAGTTCCAAGACTTGCGAAATCGTGGCCCATATGTCCTAACTGCAGAGACTCTCAAATCTTATCAGAATAAATTCAGGACGTCTCCTGCTGGAAGTGTAAAGGTATGTTTAAATTCCATTCTCATTTTCAAAGGGGGACAGATCCTGTGTCACTATAAATTTTTTTCCATTGATAGCCAAGAAATTACCTGGACATCTGTAATTACTGGCAGGTCAAATAAAACTTGATATGCTTTCACAAAGGTTCTTTAAAGTATTCCATTAAATTCTGGCTTACTTACAGCTGCTAGAAGCAGCAGCAGAAAAAGAAAATCTGGATTAGAAAGTCCAAATATTGGCTGGAACCTTGTTGGTTAATTAAGCATATGGCAAATGGTGTAACATTCCGTTATTTCTAGCCAGCAGTTAATGAGTCTCTGCTGGTATTCTTGAGCATGAACCAAGACAGTAAGTGTAGATACCCCTGATAATCTCAGCGAAGCCCAGTTAATTACCAGCTAGGTAATTACTGGCAGGTCAAATAAAACTTGATGTGCTTTCACAAAGATTCTTTAAAGTATTCCATTAAATTCTGTCTTACTTACAGCTGCTAGAAGCAGCAACAGAAATAGAAAATCTGGATTAGAAAGTGCTGGTAAAGTATCCAAATATTGACTGGAATCTTATTGCTTAATTAAGCACATGGAAGGCAAATGGTGTAACATTCCGTCATTTCTAGCCAGTAGTTAATGAGTCTCTGCTGGGATTCTTGAGCATGAACCAAGACAGTAAGTGTACATACCCCTGATAATCTCAGCACTGACCTGTTAATTACCAGCTATAATGAGTCTCTGCTGGGATTCTTGAGCATAAACCAAGACTGGGATTCTTGAGGATAAACCCCTGGTAATCTCAGCACCGACTTGTTAATTACCAGCTTGAAGTTACTGAATGTTTTGCCATCTGCTTTCTGCACGCACAGTTAAGCAGTAGGATTTCAGCTACGTGTTCTTCAATATTTTGCAACTGCCCAAGAGTTGACTGTTCGCACAAATGTGTCTATTGGCTGTACTTCCATCTCTGTTATGAGGTACCAAAAATATCTGGATAAAATTGTCTGCTAAATATATCATTGTAAGATCCAAAAATGAAAATGAATGATTGTGATGATCTTGTCTGAACTCCATGATAAGAACACAGGGCATGTGACTTTCAGCAATCATCCATTCATAGTTAGCTCTGCCATAGAGCACAACGAAACAACCAGTTCCTGACGGCACTATGAGTATATGAAAGCAGGAATTGTCTGAATACTCCAGGAAGACTTTGTAAAGTATTGAACCTATCTGGGACCAGATGCTGTTCCTGCTTCATTTCAGATAGCTAATCTTGTGCTATGACTGTGTAAATTTTATTTGTCTGCATGGAGCCATTGATACAATTTTGATGAAATAGACACTGGTTCCAAGGCAACAATTTGTAGATCTGACTGCAATGTTTGGGGCTTTTGTGCCCAGCTAGAGCTTTTGGAATTTATCTGGGCTATACAAAGTGTGCTGCTTATATACCCACCCCATAGCACTTAAAGCACTCTCTGGGTGGCTTACAAGTAGAGATAGGCACAAATTAAAAAACTAATCACTAAATTCATCCAAAATTGATGATTCATCGATGTTTATTCATATGAATCAATGACCCAAACCTGCTTATATACCACCCCATAGCACTTGAATCACTCTCTGGATGGTTTACAAGTAGAGATGGGCACGTATTAAAAAACTAATCACCAAATTCATCCAAAAATTGATGATTCATCAATGTGTATTCATATGAATGACCTCAAGAAATTTGAAGCAATGAATTTTTGAATCCAATTTTTGAACTTTGCACCACAATTCAAATGCCACAAAACTTTACTTAGAAAGCTCCAAGAAATATTATCAAATGCCTTCTCTGCATCTAAAACCATAAATGCTGTTTTATGTTGTTTCCCCCCCTACAAATTCTATCACATTTATTACAAATCTTATGTTGTCTTGCATAAGGGACTAGTCCAGTCTGATCGAGGTGTATTATTTTTGTAATACTCCCTTAAGTTTGTTTGCCTTTATTGAGACAAAAACTTTATAATCCACATTAAGTAGGGAACTTGCCGTTTATGACTATAGTTGTAGTTACACCATTACTTTCTTTGAAGATTACTGTTATATATGCTTCTTGCCATGAAGGTGGAAGTTCTTATGTTTCTCTTACTTCATTCATTGCTTTTTGCAGGGGTGTAATAAGTTCATTCTCTAGACTTTTATAGTACAATTCTACAAGGAATTCATATGAAACAAAATGCAAAAATATTAATAAAGGGTTTTTTTAACTGATGGGTTTTTTTAATGGTGGGTTTATTATTGAAAAAAGAACCAAAGAAGGCTGCCCATTGTGACCACTGTTATTTATTTTAGCAACGGAGATCTTTGCAACCAAGATTAGACAAGACATCCAAATTGAAGGTTTAAAGACAGATGGAGAGGAGTTTAAGCTAAGAAATTATGCAGATGATGTTGTTTTAACCATTTGCAGTCCATTATATTCAATACAATGGGTAATGGAACAAATAGCAAAGTTTGGACTTCGCTCAGGCTTTAAAATTAATAGGAAAAGCCAAAATTATAACAAAACAACAAGAAGAAAATATTATAAAAATTACAGAGTGTGGACTCACAGATAAACAATAGACTTAACAGGAAATAATAAAACACTGTATAAGGATAATTATGAAAGAGTATGGGGGGAAATGCAGATAGAGCTAAGTGAATGGGCCAACTTAAAACTGCTTTTAGCCAGCTGCTAAAGGGCATTTTCCTGGGGGACCCAGTTTGTAGTTGTACAGCTTGGATGTCTGAAACCTGATCTTCATGAAATTTGAAGGGATTGTATAGGAGAGTCAATAGAAGCTTCTCAATGATTTTAGTGTCTCTAGGTACCTGGGGGAAAGTTTCCTGGGGGTGGCTCCTTGTGGGAGTATAACTTGGACATCTGAAACCCAAACTTCACTAAATTTGCAGGGCTTGTAAAAGAGAGTAAGAGTAAACTTCCATATCAACTTGGTGTTCTAGGTGCTTGGGGGCCCGATTTATAGGGGTTTAAAATTCAAAAACAAATTGATGTGTTGATTCATCAGGAAAAAAAATCATAACTTTGTAATTTGTCAATCTTGATGAATCACGAATCAAAATGAATCACAATTTTTCTAATTTGTGCCCATCTAATTTACAAGCTCATTATGCAGGCTACACATTGCCCTCCCCCGAGCTGGGTACTCATTTTACCAACCTCAGAATGATGGAAGACTGAGTAAACCTTGATTCAGCGACCTGGGATTGAACCCCAGGTCATGAGCAGAGTTTTGGCTCCAGTACCACTACGCCACAAGACATCCGTCCCTCCAATACGCATGTTTTTACCTCCACCTCTACCACCCTTGCTTTGCCCACTTTATCTTCCAAATCTACAAGGTTCACCTGTGTGCCCCCTCTGTAGATCACTACTGCAGTCTAAGTGACATGATCCAATCCAATCCTTCTCTCACTCTTCCCACATGCTCTGCAATTAATTGAGTTCCAGCTTGGTAAGTCATTGGGCAAACATGCCTACTAAATTTGAATAATGACGTTGTTGATCTGTTCTTGTTCTTTCTTAGGTGGTGATTCACTTAACTGATGGCATTGATGGTGCCAGGGGGCAGCTAGCAGCGGCATCTGCTGATCTCAAGAGAGAAGGTGTTGTGTTAAAATTTTATGTTTTTAAGCTACCACCTAAATTACAATTTGCACTTAGAAGGTCTCATAACATGTTCACACTCCTTTACATCATATTAATTAGCACCAGACAAGGACCATTTGTATTTGTATCTCCAGGGAAGCAAATACAATGCATCACATCACAAGTGCCACAGGGACCCATTTTCCTCCCCCACAACCAGCCAGCCCACTCACTGGGCTCCATATGATGTTGGGCTCCTTTGTCATCTTTGTCACACCAATTGTGGCAGGCTTTCCCCCCCTCCGTGCACAGCCAACTACAGTACTGATCAGCTGAGCAGGGAGACTCCCCATACCACCTCCTCACTGAAGTGGTCAGCTGCATGGGGAGACAGGGAAAGCCAGACGGGCTCCTGCCTTGATTGGCATGACAATGACAGCAAACCACCCGAGTGCTGTGTGGAGCCCAATGAGTGGGCTGGTCAGTTCTGGGAGAGGGAATTGAGCCCCCACGGCACCTGAGATTCCGTGGGTCATATTCGTGTTCCTGGATATACAAATACAATTAACTCATGTCTAATTAGCACTTCTATATATTATGCCCCAGTTTAGGGAGAATTTTGTTCACTTCACATTTCACTTATGCTTCCTGAACAAGTATATAAATCAAAACACAGTTCCCTGTATTACACTCAGTTTTGTGATATATGTGTACATGAGGGGAAAGTACCTGCACAAACTATACGCAAATTCATTACATTATTAAGAGAAATATGCACAGAAATGCATAGTTATTTTGCAGAACGTTTTAAACAAATCCCAATCCTATGAGGAAATGAGATGTAATGAACTGGGAATGTGGAAGTGGGAAAAACCCAAAGTGGGAGATGTTCACTGGTAGAAGACGAGGGCCAAAACCCAGTTATGTACTTGATCATGTTCTTGCTACTTCTGCCAGAATAAGCATATTTCTTCCTTCCTGTGACTGTCTCATATTCACTCTAAAAACCTGTTCCAGACTACTTTTAGGATGGTTTTCTTTTCCATGGGAAGCTCCAGCCCCCGTTTTCATTTTGAATTTGGTCAAAGTGTAGCTCAGCCAGAGAAAGGGCTTTCAGGAAAGGGACTAATTACTCAAAACTAATGGCTTTCGCTTCCAATTCTCTAGGTGTCAAAGCTCTAATTCTTGTTGGCTTAGAGCGAGTAGCAAACATGGAGGAAGTGATGCAACTGGAATTTGGGCGTGGCTTCACTTATAATCGGCCTCTGCGAGTGAACCTGCTGGACTTAGATTTTGAGCTGGCAGAGCAACTGGTAAGTAGAAAAAGCCTGTAACATGTCTCAGTTGAAACCTTTTATGAATGTTTAAATGTGCATGGCTCTTATACAGTTAATGTTCTTTCTTTGAAAATGTTTGTCCCTTCTATGGCTGTTCCCAATTGTGTAACTCTGTGAGATGTTTAAGCTTTCTGCATTGGGGAAAAAATGATCATTTTGGTAAGGGCTGAACAGTGAAAAAATAAAGTATCTCAAAACCTGCTGCCTGCCAACAAGGTAGGAGGCCTTTAGTAGTGGGTGATATAAAATAGTATATCATAATCTATTTCCTTTTAGCTCTTTTCATTTGGCCCAGGTGTCAGACTGTGGGTACAAGAACTTTTCCAGCTGTTCCATGAAATCCTCCCATGGCCTTGCTGATGTTGTTTTTATTGCAGTCCTTGTAAGGCAAGAGGCAAGATAGGGAACCCAAACCAATGCCCCTGGTTCATCAAGGGACACCCTTGCCATCCAAACCTGCCTTAGAATCACAGCATCTGAAACACTCCTGAATTTAGTAGGGATCGGGGTTGAAGATAATTATGTTGCCTCTCTGGCACTTCAGCATAATCAAAGAGTTTCATATTTTTTGTAATCCTTATTAATCTCCACCCTGTTGAACTTCAGTGGGCAATAAAAATGGTCTTATTCTATCTAACCTTAGGTTTCTGATGCTCCTTTTAAAAAAATTGGCTCAAATTTCCAATCTGTTTTTGTATAATGTTTTTATCTGCCGTATTTTATTTTGGTACGGGTTCCTGGATGGTAGAAAAGCAATTAATAAATGCCTTTATAATTTATTAATAAAAACATTTATAAATATTTTATTTCCTCTCTTACAGGACAACATTGCAGAGAAGGCGTGCTGTGGAGTCCCATGCAAATGTTCAGGGCAGCAGGGAGACAGAGGGTTGCCCGGCTCCTTTGGGCCAAAGGTGAGCAGGGTTTGCCTCAGTTTTGGAGGCTCCATACCTTTTGCTCTTTCAGCACACACTCCACATGCCTCAGAGGCTTTGGAAATGTACTTCCTGAATATCATGCCCCACCAATGGGATTTCCAAAGCTATTTGTGATACGAGACAGGTAGACGGAAAATGAGTCATCTGTTAAAAGAAGACCGTTCTGAATCACACAAGAACCCTTGGCCATACCATAGAGTAGCACTGCACATCCTGGCTTTTGATTCATACTGAGCCAGAGCTTTGTATATGTAAATTTTTCGTACTACAACTTCCAGAATCCTCCAGCTAGTGTGAGCCCTGGCTAAGCTGGTTGAGGGATTCTGGAAGTTGTGTCCAAAAAAAGTAATGTTTCCGAGCTGCGTTATTGTTCTATAGATGTAGTCCTCTAGTTTTATCCCAGATATGACTTCAGTCATGTCTAACATCTGCCAAGTGTTACATTTGTGTGAAATTTATTTCAGCCTTTGGGCTGATGACAAACACATCTTCTATTTTTAACTCAGAAACTGCTGGTATTCCTATCCAGTGGGACATCTGGCAAGGGCCAAAGCTGATGGACCAATGCTGAGTAAAATTCTGATATGCAGAGATCTCTACATCTTGGTTCAAGTTCTGTACATCTCTTGATTTGTAACTTAAGGAACAGGAAAGGCTGAAGGCAGCAGGAAAATTGAAAGACCAAATACGAGATGGATTGACTTCCTAAAGGAACCGCACTATTGAGTTCATAAGAGCAGAGCAGGGCTGTTGAGGACAGGACATTTTAGAGATCACTCATTCATCAGGTCACCATAATTCAAGGGTACCTTGATGGCACACATAACAAGAGCAGCAACTGTATTAGAGCTATAAGGACAGAGCTTTAGGTGGAAAATATAAGGTGCACCATCTAGCTGCAAAGTTATAAAAGAAAACATCATTGCTATTAATGAAAAGTTACAGTAGATATAAAACAAAACCAGAATTTGTTGTTGTTATGGTCAGATGGTTTGTTTTGTGCAGTGCTTCTCAACCTTGGGTAACCCAGGTGTTCTTGGACTGCAGTTCCCAGAAGCCCTCACCACCAGCTGTGCTGACCAGGGTTTCTGGGAGTTGCAGTCCGAGAACACTTGCGTTACCCAAATATGGGGATCACTGGTTTAGTGTAATTAGTTTCATAGAAGTATTCAAGTAGTAGATCATTATGCATTAATTTATTTGTAAAATCCCAGATTTTGAGTAGAGATTAAAGAGGAGAATACAGGATAACACAAGAGAAGCTAATATGTTGATATATAAACATTAATGCAGACCCTGTGTATTTGTCTTTTTAAAGGGAGTTCCAGGAGAAAATGGCTACAGAGGTTATCCAGGAGATGAAGGTGGACCGGTGAGTAGACTCCACCTCCCAAGAAACGTATTTCCTCTCTTACATGTGCCCAGAGGAAGAACGAAGAAGGAAAAGAAGGAAGGAAAGTGCCTTTAACTTTTGATGTGCCTATTTGCAGCTTTGAACAAATAGAAGAAACTACAAAGTGCTCCATATGAAATAATGCAGGAATGTGGTGATACAAATCAAGCCCGTGGTGTTTTGGTGATATTATTCCTCCCAGTTTGACAGCGTGCCCACACTAGAGGAACCGTTTGTGCATCCGTGATGTGCAGCTAAATACCCCCTAAATTCCTTGCTCTTATCTATTTAGCTATCTTGACATGAGAAGATACTTTGATAAGGAATGTTTAAACCCTATGAGATTAATCAGCCAAGAGAAATAATTTTTCCCTTTGAAAAATAGACCACATACCCTAAGCATAGAGGGACTGTCTGGTCATTAAGGAAGAGGCAAACAGTCCATCCAGTGCTTCCAGTTCTGAGGGCAGCAATCAGCTTCATCTGAGCAATTTGTACCCATCCTGCAGTTGCTTGAATTGCACCATTTTTGTAAAAACAGCCAGACAGTTTTGTTTTAAAAATGAGCATTTTTATTCAACGCATTTGTTCTTGTGGCTGTGGTAGCACCAAAAGCCACAAGAAATTATTTGTCATCCTCATCAACTAGAAGGAGAATGTTACAGTTTCTCACATTTGCCTGTGAGGGTGAGACAAATGAGAATGTATATTGTGACTAGACAAATCCCATGGTCCTGTTTGTTCAAGTATGCATAGCTAATGACCAACAAATGCCCCAGCCCCTTACCCTCCAATAGGTTGAGGCAAAGGTCAGCTGAATGATCTATTCATAGTTTCCATGTACTGATGGGAACCACGTATGGTGAATCCTAATGACAGGCCTCACTAGAGATTCACTGAGAGCTACATGGTACAAACAGATCCATAGCTGAGATGTGCAGAAACTCTCTGTAGATGAATAAAGGGCATACAGATTGTGGCTGACCCACACTGTACATTTCAGATGGCAGCCAAACAGCTCTGTCCTGAGTCCATGACATTATCTGCAGATCTCAATTTAAAAAAATCATATGAATAGGGAAACACAAATGGCTACATAAATGTAGGCATCCTTCGGTTTCAAGAGACTATGGCAACATGCTCTGAACAGAGGTCTTGGAACAGTGTCTAGTGTGGCTGAGGAGGCCAATTCAAGAGTGACAATCCCTTCCATACTGAAGACAAATCTGTCCCCTGTCCTGTTCCCTGATTTCGGGACTGCCTCTTTGCCTTGGCCTGCTAAACAAGTGCAAATTGGGAGAGGCCGTGCTGCACTGCTTGCCTCCAGGCTGAACACTCAGATGTCAAGGTTTCCAATCTCTTGAGGTCCATTCCTAAGGCCTTCAGATCCCGCTTGCAGATATCCTTGTATCTCAGCCGTGGTCTCCCTCTGGGACGCTTTCCCTGCACTAATTCTCCGTACAGGAGATCTTTTGGAATCCCACCGTCAGCCATTCTCACAATATGCCCAAGCCAACGTAGACGTCACTGTTTCAGTAGTGTATACCTGCTAACATTTCCAGCTCGTTCTAGGACTACTCTACAAATGGCTATGACCTGGACAAAGCTACACAGTACTCTATTTGTGTGGCCTATCTACTAAAACCGAACAATCAGCCATCCACAATCATACATGCAATCAAAGCTAACATCATAATAATATTTCAGTAAAGTTTAGTGAACTATTTTGAGTGACAGCTCAAAGAAAATGAAGAATATTCCAGAAGGCAAAAAGTTATGCAAGTTTTTATTTTGTTTTGTTTTTGCCTATAGCTCTGTAAAATGGCTGGTGGAGTGGCTGCAAGGTGATATATGCTGCACAGTGAAGTCTCTCTGGGTCCTCTCTAGCACCAGGAAAGGGTCCAAGCGAGATCTTGGGCTTTCTTTGAGAAGTTTAGCTGCCTATTGCCTTTTTTGGTTCTGGCGGCTCAATCTACTATATTATTTACAGTTTCTCCTTTCTTCAGTTCAAGTTCCTGGCACTCTTTTTAAACTCTACAAATGCTGAACGGGATAAATATTGTGTGTTGTTCCACCCTTCGGGAGAACAGAGATTCTTTGGTCTGCCCATGATTCACCCCAGAATCACACAAATAGAAGGTTCACAAAAATTTACATTAAAATATAATTAGTCATTAAGATGCCACAACGCTTTTGTCTGTTTTTTATTTTTCTTTGGTTTGGCCGATATGTTTGCACAAACTAACATGGTCACCTTGATTCCATCTGTTTTTGTACATTCATGTAAAGATAGTGCCCATGTTTAATTCATAGCACCTATATTAAAGCCCAGGTTAAATGTGCCAGTTTTCTTAATGTATTCTCAATGTATTCTCTTAAAATATGTTCTCAGGGTAATTTCAAAGCATTCTGTATATGATCTACCCAATTCATCAGGTGGTAAGATTTTTATGGAGGAGAGTACATGAAAATAATGCTATCCTACTGTACATGTAATTATGAACCAGTGCAGTGTAAAGGATATTTAGCTTTATTATGAGGTCTATTAGGTGGTAAGATTTCTGCGGAGGAGCATATATGAATATAATGCTGTCCTAATTAAGCTGATCTTCTAGAGAAAACACCATTATAGTCATGACTGAACATTTTAAAAATAAACTAAGTAAATTGCTAGTGACTATCGAAAGTCCTAATTAAGCTGATCTTCTAGAGAAAATACCATTATAGTCATGACTGAAGATTTAAAAAATTATACTAAGTAAATTACTAGTGACTATCAAAATCTTTATTTATTTAATTTTATTTGATTTATTTGATTTATACCCCGCCCATCTGGCCTAAAAGGCCACTCTTACTATCAACTTACTATGAGTATATTCACATTAGATATTCCATTAGGCTAGATGGAGAAAAGTGCTGAACATTGCCAGACTTCACATAAAAGTTAAAAAATGTTTTTAAGCCTTAGAAGTGCCTGAACAGTATTGGTATACTGTAACAGTACAGGCAATAGCCTAGGTGTTAGTAACAGTACAAGGATATGAAGAATTAACGTAGTTCCTTTTTTAACTTTACCCATTTTACTTTACCCATGCCATTCTGAAGTTCATCTTTGATCACATACACACAATGTTGCATTTCTCCTTTCTTGTGACAGGGTGATCGTGGACCACCAGGGATAAATGGAACTCAAGGATTCCAGGGTTGTCCTGGTGAAAGAGGAACTAAGGTATTAATACAAATAAGTTGTATGTCTCAGTATAAGGTCAGTAACACATTTATCAACAGTCATCAGCCCAGTTTAAAGTAATGGAAGATTTTACAGTAGTACGGTAAAGGTAAATGTTCCCCCTGACATTTAGTCCAGTCGTGTCTGACTCTAGGGCGCAGTGCTCATCCCCGTCTCCAAGCCACAGAGCGAACGTTTTGTCCGAAGACAGTTTCCGTGGTCACGTGGCCAGCGTGACTAGACACACAATGCTGTTACCTTCCCACCATAGTGGTACCTATTTATCTACTCACATTTTTACATGCTTTCGAACTGCTAGGTTGGCATGTAGGTGACAGGAGCTCACTCTGTCGCGTGGATTCGATCTTACAACTGCTGGTCTTCTGACCCTGTAGCACACAAAGGCTTCTGCGGTTTAACCGCAGCGCCACCACATCCCACAACTTTACAGTAAATTAGTGTATAAATATTTCTATAATGTGAGTTCTATAGGAATGCAATACCTTTCATCACATTGCCATATTTGTATATTACCCTTACATCAGAAAATGAAACTTTTCATGTGTGCCAGTGTTTCTTTTAATACTGAACTACAGTGACATTCTATTGTGCAATTTTTCAGGTGAAACATAATATAGCAATTAATCCAAGTAATTTCCATAACTCTTTTAATTATTCATATCATGCATCTCCCACTCCACTCCAGACTTCATATTAGTCAGATTTCAGTGGGACACCTTCCACAGGAATAGTGCGTGCTTTCTTTCTTTCTTTCTTTCTTTCTTTCTTTCTTTCTTTCTTTCTTTCTTTCAGTTGAGATGTCTGTGGGCCTGATATCATTAGTTCAGCATTCTTACTGTTCTTTTTTAGCTACTTTAGAGATTATACTAACTTCTGTGGAAAACTAGAGAATTCAGGTTCTCTACTTATGGTTTTGTTTTCATGAATAATCTTTCTGTTCTTTTTTTCCCCTCTCTAGGGAAGCCGTGGATTTCCAGGGGAAAAGGTATGTAAACAATTTAAGCCATCAGAAAAAGAAGAAAAAAATGCATCTCATCCTTTTTTCTTTGTCAGTCTTCTGCATATTTAAAATTCTGTATACTAATAATTATTTTTGCTTCTCCAGGGTGAATTGGGGGAGATTGGCCTCGATGGAATAGATGGCGAAGAGGTAAATTACCTGAATAAGATTTTATCTTTTTCAGAAAATGCAAATTTGATTACAAATAATGTGTTTTTATATAACAAGCTTTGATTAATTGGATTCAAATGATATTACTGTTTTTTTCCCAGGGAAACAGAGGCCTCCCAGGTTCTCCTGGTGAGAGAGGAAGCCATGGCAGACGGGTAAGATTAATGTTAGAAAACTCATAAGGTAATAATGAAAATGTGCAAGTAACCAAATTGATTCATCATCCCAGAGATATAACAGGCTTTAGTGGATCCATCCTAGGCAACCAATAGATATCTGGTTCTACATCAGAAGAGACAAATACACACATGTTGTTGCTTACTATTCCCACTGAGTGTGGGGTCCACACATTCAGGATTACAAAGCATAAATGTAAGATTGAACAGGCCGTGCATTAGACAATAGAGATATCTCCATTACACTTTTAATTAGTATTTTTGAAAATGTATAATGCTTGAAATCAAGTGAACGCTAGATGCAAAATCCATATTGGGATTATTAAGCTAATCAAAAAGGACAGACCTTGTGCAAATGTACAAGGTATCTTCTCTTCAGGGAAAATGTTTAAAAAGTGAGCAGGAAAAGGGGGTGAGAAAAGCTTGGTGATAGGTCATTTTAATTCACATATTGTCCAGAGATGTAATGGATGAGGCAGGAAGCCAACAAAAGCATGGAGTTTATCAAGTGTTGTAATAGCATTGGATTTCACTAGAGTAGTCAATATTGGGAGCTGAAAAATAAATATACTATATATATACTAATATAGATAGTAGCTTTCCATTAGAGAAGAATGGAATGAATGCTGTGAAAAGTTGCAGACACTACATCTGATACTTGTAATCTGTAAAAGTCCGTGAAACAAAGGAAGAACCATTGTCATTTTGTTCATATTGTGTTATTTGTGTTAAAGCATATGAGGCAAGTAAGGACTTGCATCCATCCCTATGATGCATGCAGTATATTTTAATGTGTGGTGCAATTGAAAATATCTTTATAGGGAAGCAGAGGAAACAAAGGAGAAAGAGGAGAACGTGGGGACCATGGACTACGAGGAGATCCGGTATGTTCTGTTTACAAAAGAGTTCAGATTGTTATAATTTCCATATGTTAATGACTCTAATAAAGAGTAATTAGTCTGTTATACAGAATGCTATTTATATATTTAAAATATGTAACCTTTTACAGGACAGTGCCCCCCAGAAGTTTACAAAATTAAAAATGTAAATTTATCTGTAAAAACAAATAAGCGTAGGTTTCACAATCAAAGGCCAATTACAATAAGTTATATAGCCTAGCATAAAATATCACCAATGCTATCCCTTGGTTCAGCTTAGCCAGCTTCTCTACGTATAGTCCCTTCTTCCTGACAGAAAGAGTTTTCAGTGTTGAATTCCACCCATTCTACAATTGCCACCAGGCACTGATTCATATATTCCATAGGCCTTGTGGAATGGGAGGTTTGTGTTAGCAAAGCCACCCAAATTTGCTAACCTCTTGAAAGAGTCTTCCATCCATTCACCCTAGGATCTGTAGATGAAAATGAGAGATAGAATTTGGGAATTTCAGCATATTAGTGAGGTGGTAGTAGCCCACATTTTGGATGAAGTCCTTTAGCAATGTAGATGTTAAAAAACATATAGCAGAAAACAGAGCTCTCTATCATCTTCTGGGACCGTTCAGTGGTGCCTCGCTTAACGACGATAATCTGTTCCAGGAAAATCGCCATTAAGTGAAAACATCGTAAAACAAAATTAAAAATGCCATTTTACCCTAGTGAGGTGGTAGTAGCCCACATTTTGGATGAAGTCCTTTAGCAATGTAGATGTTAAAAAACATATAGCAGAAAACAGAGCTCTCTATCATCTTCTGGGACCGTTCAGTGGTGCCTCGCTTAACGACGATAATCTGTTCCAGGAAAATCGCCATTAAGTGAAAACATCGTAAAACAAAATTAAAAACCCCATTTTACCCCGTTCCAATGGGGTAAAAACTCACAGTCCAGCGAAGATCCTCCATACGGCAGCCATTTTCGCTGCCTGTATAGCAAGGAATCCATCCCTAAACACAGTGGGGAGCCATTTTAAGCACCCAGTGGCCATTTTGAAACCCGAACAGTCAGCTGTTTCGATCATCATAATGCGAAGAATCGGTCTCCGAATCAGGGAACCAATCTTCGCAAAGCGAAAAAACCCCATTTAGACCATCATTTTGCGATCGCAATTGTGATCGTAAAAAGATTGTTGTACAGCTATTTCATTGTAATGCGGGGCAATCGTTAAGCGAGGCACCACTGTTCTCTCAAGATGAAAGCAATACAATGCTATGACTGCTATGCCTAACTGAGCCGGGTAAGGTTACCTGGCAGATACAATGGTCAATGGTACTGAATGATGCTGATGTGTCAAGGAAGTTTGCTCCCATTCCATCTCCCCCCCTTAATTCTGCAGCATAAGGGTGACCCAGACTGTCTGTGTGCATAGGTATCTTCTATCATTCATTCAGTGATGGAAGATTTTTCTTTAGGGACAGTGCCTGTGGTTCAGTGATACAGCACATGCTTTATATGCAAAAGTTCTCATTGCTTTCCTCCCTAAGCAGTCCCAAGCAGGAATAAGAAAGGCTTCTGCCTGCAAACTTTGCAGAGCCATTGGCACCAGCCTGTGTGAACAATGCTGAGATGGAGAATCTCATAGTCCAACTCATTATAACATAGAAATACAGCAGTTATACTTCATATATCTAAGCTAGTGTTCCTGACAGATTATACCATTTCACAATAATTTTGGCTGAAAGTTCCTGGACTAAGGAAAGGTCGTAGACAAAATGCTGTCAAGTCAGAACTTACATATAATGACTCTAACAGGGTTTTCAAAGTAAGGGAGTTATTTAAGGTGTGGTCTTACCATTGTGCAATATCTTTACTAGACCACACAAATCTCACAAACAGGCATTAGGTTTCAGGTTGAGCAGGACCCTTATTTTGTAGCATAAGCTGCACTAACTGCTCCATTTGGTTCCCACTGTTTTTTTTTCTGCTTCCAGGGTACCCCAGGAACTGATATGACCCAAAGAGGACCCAAAGGCCAAAAGGGTGAACTTGGACCAGTGGTAAAGTATATTCTGTGTGATGTTTACTGCAACAGAAGATAACATAACTAACATAACTTTTAACTAACATAAAAAGAATGGATCCATCTGCCCTGTGTTGTCTTCTCATTGTCTGTCTCATGGCAAGCAGCTTGTCTATTTTGTTTCCCACAGGGAGAACCTGGAAGAGACGGACCAGCAGGTGCCCCAGGAGGGCCCGGAAGGAGTGTGAGTGTTCATTCCCCTCTCCTCCTACCAGCTGTTTCTTTTGTTACTGACTGGTGCTTTGCTGTATAACGATGGAAAGATAACTGCCTAAAGCCTAGTCAAAACTGTAAAATTTAAAGATGTTCGTACTCATTTGAAATACATTTGTACTGCCCTTCATTAGATTTGATCTCAGAGTAGCTTACAATGAATAATCTCAGAGCGGGGCTAACTAGTACAATCCCACGACTCTCTCATCAGTTTCTTCTTCTTTTATAAGAGTCTTTTATAATTTATAAAACAAAATAGAGAAATGGAGAAAAGTATAGTAAAGATTAAAGGGAAAACAGATCCCATTATTTGGTGGTTTCATGAGTAATGGAAATAGTGTTACATTTCTCTGAGGACTGAAGGACCAACATCCCTTGCATTCTGTCCATTCAGTTGTTTTGTCTCCTCTTTTACATATGGCTTTCCTGTTTCTGACAACAAAAATCAGCAAGGATGATACCTCACAATAATAGGTATGCTGGTTCCCTTGCCACCAGAGAAGCACATGTTTCTTGAAACATACCATTGATAAGAGAAATAGAAACTGAGTGAGAGAAGGCTCATGCTGTGGAGTGAGGTAGAAGCATTTCATGGGCTCCAGCTAGGGCCCAACATTTGAGAAATGGAATTTGCCACGCTAGAGAGATTTTCACCAGAACGTTACTGAGTGCCTGGAAGCCAAGCTGGAGAAGAGGGAAGTAGAGCTGGGTTTTGTTTAACCTCATCCCCACTGTCTGAGACCTAAGTAAGAGTCTACTTGAGTCACATCCTTACATGATGTGTGAATTAAGCTTCCAGAGCACTATATAATTTTTAGCACTCCTTGACCATTCAGCCTCCCTTGTGCTCTTATTTGCATTCTGTTGTGATACTTTGTGGACTTTTTGTCAAATAAAGTGCACAATAATATGACTGTATTGTACCAGAGTGTACCAAAGAAAGCTGCAAAGTAAAGGCTACTGCAAAGTGCAGAACAACAGGTGTTGAAAACAACTGAGTAACAGTTTGTGGCTTAAGTGGCTATATTTTGTTGATTTGCAGGGAGGACCTGGCAGGAGAGGACCTCTAGGAGTCAAAGTGAGTACTAAGTGAAGATTTTGAAGGGGGGAAAAAGACATCTTGATTTAATAAATTCCTTTGAATCCCAGTTAATGTTTCTGTTTCCTTCCTGACTTACTTTCATATCAAAGTAAAAGCCTTTGTTCAGTGTCCTGTTCAGTATTTAGGCTACTGCATTGATCTGACAAGGTGCCAGTTGTGTGCCTGGTTGTATATGACTAGCATCTAGTCAGCTTCTGCAGTTGGAGTTCTGTGTCTTTGTAAAGACTGAATAGAACACTTGTCTTTGTTTTTAATTCTTCCCTGTTTAATTAAATAGATGTATGGGGAGTGAGACTACATCACATAGCCCCATTACCTGTAGGCCTGCATGTGATGTAAGTCCCCCTACCTTGTGTACAAGATGAAGAATATCTATACAGGGGGAGGTCTAAGAAGCTGCACATATAGCTCACATAGAGGCCACCGTTAATACAGCTGTGCATATTTAGGCCTCCACCATACATAAATTCATGCTGAGTCCCCTCATCATAGAAAAGGCAGCCTATAAAGAACAATGAATGAATGAATGAATGAATGAATGAATGAATGAATGAATGAATGAATGAATGAATGAATGAATGAATGAATGAATGAATGGGCACTGGTGTCTCAGGCCTTACAAATGAGGCTGCGCTGTGTCTTAATTTCTCACTCATGAATATGACAACCTGATACAAATTCCTAAAGAAAGTTAGCGCCTGTTGTCACATTTTATGGCATTCAGTAGGTTCATAATGCATCAAATAAGTAAATACTTTATTTTGACTGTTTTTGAAACTAGTGCCCGTCAGTTTCTTTCCTTTGTGTGCTGAATTACTGTACTGTATTTCAGGGAAACAGAGGCACACCAGGTTTACCAGGATCTGTGGGAGAACAGGGTGCAAGAGGACCACAGGTGAGGCAATGATGTTGCTCATTTCATGTGTGTTCACGTGTGTGGGTGAGGGTATAATCATCTATGAAGAAAAAAACAAGAATAAGGTTTTTGTGGCAACTTAAATAGATATATTATTGCATATACTTTTGTAGTCTAGAACTGATTTTGCCACATGTATGAAATGTTATACCTAGTAGTATGATGTTAAATAAGTATATATTTTTATAATTTTATACTGCAGGGATCCAGAAAAATCTTGACTTTCAGTTCTTACTATTTAACATTTATTATAGTTAGACAGACAGACAGATGCAATATTTTAGTCTCAATTATTTCTATTTGGTTATTTAAATAGGGACCACCTGGCCCAGCTGGAGCTCCAGGTCTGCGAGGAGAGCAAGGCGTCCCTGGTCCAAGGGTAATTCTTGTGGTTTTGTTGTTGTTTTTATTATTTAAAAAGTTATATGTTCGAGAGACTTCCATTGCAAAATTAGTGGGTGTGGGTGTGTTAAAACACATTTTAGATGAGATAAGTTGATTTAAATTTTAAGAAATAGTCATGTTGCTTTCATTCTGCCAGCCGCATGAGTGTAATTCAACTATTTGTCCAGCATTAAGTAGCAGTGCCATTGTGTATTAGTATTCACAGAAATCAGTTATAACAGCCTTTTCAGATCTTCATCCAGAGTAAGACTGGAGCTGAAAATAAATATAAATCTGACAGATTCCTGGAACATTAAAGTTTGGAATTTGCTGGGGGCCTCCAAAAAGAGATTCTGAATTGCATTTTTAAATCCAAATTTTGAATGCTGAGCAGATCAGTAGATTGATGAGATTTTCACACAGCGTACACAACTTATTTCCGTGGGAAAGAGTGCACTCAGTTGTATCTTTCCAACTAGGAATCACATGAGCATGAAAATAAGCTTCCATAAGCTACCTGCAATCCTAGAAATTGAGGTGAAACCTTTTCTCAAAGCACTTGGAAAAAATAAAGGGATATATGACATTAAGATACCAACAGAGCTGTTTCAAACCACAAAGAGTGAATCCATCAATATCCAAAAAGAATATCCCAACAAACAAGGAAAACAAGTGGCCCAAAATGAGTGGCCCAAAAAGTAGAAATATTCAATATACACTCTGGTCCCAAAGAACAGAGATTCCAAAGATGGCAGGTTAACTATAAGACCTTGTTTTCCTTTGCAAGCTATGTGATGCTCAAGATTTTACAACATAACACCATATATGAAATGTGAAATGCCAAATGTTCAAGATGGACTCAGAAAAGGACAAGATGCTTGAGATCATTTTGGAAATATATGTTGGCTACTGGAGCATGCCAAAGAATCTGAGAAGAATATTAGTTTGTGACTCACAGGTTACAGCAAAGCTTTTGATTAGATGGTTTGTTAATGTATCTAATTTAATGTGTTGAAATGTATTGTTGGTAAAGAGCTTTGTGGATACCTCAGACTGCAAAAAACAAAAAAACAAAGTTGTTCTAATAAAATTAAGCCAAAATTTTCACTAGAAGCAAAAGTGACTAAACAGAAGGTATAGTACTTAGGCTGATGGTGAAGGTACAAATTTTTCAGAGAGGTCTGTGCCACAGCATATTATTACTGGAATGTGAATATGAATATAGAAATAGCTTACTTTCAGATGAAAGTGGAGTGAAAGAATCATCAGTAATTTAAGATATACAAGTTACACTAGCAGAAAATAGCAAGACCCTGAAACAACTATGTATGGAAGTTAAAGAAGAAAGTGCAAAAGCAGCGTTATAGTTCAATATTAAGAAAAGCGAGACAATGACTTCAGAAGAATTATATAACGTCAATATTAATAATTAATAAATTAAAATTGTTAAAGATTTTCTATATTTTGGATCAATCATCAACCCAAATGGAGATAGCAGACAACAAATCAGAAAAAGATTAACACTCCGGCTGCAACTACATTGCCCTCCCACCCAGGAATAAAGGGGGGAGATGCAGGTGATGGGGTAAACTAGGGCCACACTTTGTTAAATCAACATGCCATTAACTTTTGGCCTCAGAACCAGGGGCCTGTGGGAGTGCGGTATCAGGTTTGGTGCCGAAGGTTTCATAGGACCCCCTCACCAACCTTATACAGACACTCCTTGTTGTCTCTCTGTCCCTAAGACAGCATGACCCTGGCTGTTGAAATATCAACACCCCCCCCAGACCTGCAAGCCCCGTGATTTTGGCAGCCCTCAGCCTGGGGAGGGCCCCAACAGGTCTTTCCTCTCAGCCCTATAACCTCACGATCCATAGTGCTGAAAGTTCAGATATGCTATCCACTTGCTTGAACTCCATGGGCCCTCATTGATTCAGTTTCCTTCTGCACTACCTTCCGTGTGATCTAAAAGTAGCACCCCAAACAGTAATGGGGACAATATTAACCCTGTGCCAGTGTGGGACAGGTGAAAAATCCCTGCAACTACTTTTGCCAATTGAGTAGCAGGTCAAAAATTCCTATCCGGCCCTCAACAGGACTAGTCAGACTCACATTGGATATAGTGAGGGCGGGCGGGATGAAAGCCTTGAAATAGGCTGAACATGTGAGGGAGCATCTTTATAAGGATGCTTTCCCTCCCCTTGGATAGAGATGTGAATAGTGTGTCTCTTGTTATCCCAAAGGAAGGGCAAAACAACTCTGTGTGGTGACAAGCACGGACAGAGCCGACATTGCCCTCCCACCCAGTAATAAAGAGGCGAGATGCAGGTGATGGGGTAAACTAGGGCCACACTTTATTAAATCAACATGCCATTAACTTTTGGCCTCAGAACCAGGGGCCTGCAGTAGTGTGGTGTCAGGTTTGGTGCCGAAGGTCTCACAGGGCCCCCTCACCAACTTTATACGGGCAAGTCCCATACTCTGTTGTTACACTGTCCCTAAGACACCATGACCCTGGCCAGTGAAATATCAGGCCCCCTTGGGCCTGCAAGCCCCCTGACTTTGGTGGCCCTCAGCCCGGGGAGGGCCCCAGCAGGTCTTTCCTCCCAGCACTGTTACCTCACAATCTGCAGCACTGAAAGTTAAGACACACTATCCACTTGCTTGAACTCCATGGGCACTCACCAATTCAGTTTCCTTCCACATTAATCGCCATGGAATGGGAAGTCTAGCTGTGCCTCATTCCCCCCATCGAACTGAAAATTTCAGCGTGCAGTCCCCTATATAAATAATTCAAGAAAACGTTTAATACAGCCTCAGATAAATGAACTCCATCACCTCTGTATAGCTCCGGTTGGTTCAAACGGATCTCCGGTTGTCCCATCCCATTGACTACTGCTCTGCAAACTTCCCTATTAACCTTCCTGCATGCCCTATTTATACAACTAGAATCACAGTCAGCTCTCCAAGTATGCTGTGGAATAATCGTGGACCAAACAATTCTCGAAAATGGGAACTTGGCCTTCCAGCTTCTTGTTTCATCCAAAATGTCCAACGCAAGGGACTTGCCACTTCTTCTGGTCAAGTCATTACCCCCCCCCCAGATGAACCAACAACATGTCTGGGGGCAAATGCTAGGGGATGGTTCCAGCATAGGCACCTGACCTGTTGGCCCTCCCTGTAAGCCCATGTCCGTCTGGAGCCCTAGCAGGTCCTGCACCTGTGCTCCAAGCCCCCACAACCACAACACCATTGCCCTACCAGTGTCCAGTACAGAGGCGAGCTCACCTGACCCTTGATTAGCAGCCAAGTCCCAGCTGGATGAGGGCCTTTCCCCATCTGACCTGACATCATCCACAGCATCCTGCTGAACTTCCTTATGTGCCGGATGTACACACGAGCGTTCTGCTCTATCCTCGACTGGGCCAAGCAGTTCTGTTGGCTGGCAGTTTTGCAGCTCCTGACGCACCTTGCATGCCAGCCTCTAGAGCAGAAAAACGGGATAAGAGATTATCAGCAAGAGCTTTCAGCTTAGCCCGTTTGTGCGCCTTGAACTCCCTCGCTGACTGCTGTGGCTGTTTATCCCTAGACTCCTTATTTGCTTGATTAGTCGTCTGCTGTTCCAAAGCTGCTATTTTAGCGCAGAACCCTTTTGCAAATGGGACACCCTTCCTCATCCGATGACAATGATATGACTGGAGGTGACACCCTGGGAGCTCTGCATTTCACAGGCTGCTTCCCTTTACTGGGTGGTGACAGATTAAGCTGGGACATGATGTTTTGGGAAATCAGAAACACACACATACCCATGGTATTGCAATGGTTCAGACAAAGTCTAGCCCTCAACCCCATTGTCTAGACAAAGCCTAGCCCTCAAAGTCTATTGTGACAGCCTCCTCACATAGATCGTCCCTGTGACAGCCTCCTCACACATCACAGAGGAGCTGCCACGTCACTCTCACACACACACTATAATCACGCTGCCACCAACCACTCCTTCATAAGACTCTTCAGACAAATGTATGATTTTAAAAATAAAAACTTGTATTTTATTGATAACAACAGAAGGAATGGTAAATCACTTTATCAACTAAAATAAAAAGGCAATCAGTAATAATAAAGTATCCCCTCATACACACTCTCTCTCAGACCTTCACTAACACAGTACTTTATAACATATACAAGCCCTAACTCCCTAAGTCCCTACCAGACCCTATCCAAGCCCTATTTGGTTCATATCTTGTCCCTATCTTAGATCCTATCTTAGACCCCATCTGACTCACACCTCATTCACTCCCCCATTAAATACCATGGCTCCACCCTCTGAAGTCTCACCTCCCGTCATGCTATAGGCAAATGAACTCCAGCCACTGCAATGACAGGCAGATGACATCATCGCTACCGTAACAAGCTGGGACATGATGTTTTGGGAAATCAGAAACACACACATACCCATGGTATTGCAATGGTTCAGACAAAGTCTAGCCCTCAACCCCATTGAAATGCTGTAGTGGGACCTTAAGAGAACTGTACATAAACAAATGCCCACAAACCTCAATGAACTGAAGCAATGTTGTGATGAAGAGTGGCCCAAAATTCATCCACAAAGTTGTGAGAGACTAATAAGGTTATATAAAAATGATTACTTCATGTTATTGCTAAAGGTGGTTCTACAAGCAATTGAATCATAAGGTGTACTTAGTTTTTCACAAATGGCGTCTCCATTTTGACTTTATTTTTGTAAAATGAATCATGATACGGTGTAATATGTCATGTATTGTTGTTCCTCTGAGGTTATATTTACCTAATTGTCAGACCTGCTAGGGCCCGGATGAATTTTATCCTGTCCTGATATGTACAACCATAGAATTCAAAGAAGGTGTACTTTCTTTTTCACATGGCTGTATATTGTTGGAGACCAAGGTCAAGATCAGCCATACTGTGATATTCCAATTTCTTTGTATGGATGTAAAAGCTGAACAATGAAAAAAGCTGAGAAGAGAAAAAATATCTACTGTTTTAAAATATACTGTTGAAGATGAACCTTGCAGATATTACAAACTACAAACCAAATTAAGCTATTGAATGCTAGTGAATTTTTACTAGAAGCACAAAATGATTAAACTGAGGCTATCATCCTTTAAATATCTGGGTGAGGACAAGACTTCTTGGAAAAGACATTAATGGTAGGAAACGTTTGAGGCAATAGGCAAAAAGAACAACCAAACACAAGACAGATTGACTCAATAAATGAAGAGTTGAGCCAGGACTGTTAATGACAAAACCCTTTTGTAAGTCATTAATTCATAGGGCCACCATGAGCCAGAAGCATTTTGACAGCACATAATAGCAAGTTTATTTCTAATGTGGATACAGAGTCATGCACACAAACAGATACTGTGGAAAGAGTTCCTTCACCACATTGTTTTCTGGGATTCTAAGCAGCAATTTCTCAAGAAATAGATTGCTTCTGGGGAGAAAAAGAACAATGTTCTTCCATTTCTCAAGAAATAGATTGCTTCTGGGGAGAGAAAGGATAATGTTCTTCCATACAAAGGCTGTGGTCACACCAGCAAAATGTCCCTCTATGGTTATGTGACTTTTAATTGCGTTCCTGTCATGCTTAAGGTCATGTGGCATTTCTTCCAGAACATGCTTCCCAATGTGGTTTTGAGTTACCAAGTCACTTCCTGCCAATTCAGTGAGCACCTAGAGCTTCTTGTTCATACCGCTTGGCAGAAGTTAACTGACACGTCAACACACGTGCCTTGCTGTATTTTTTCTGTTTTAAAAAATTACTGATTTTATTGCCATATTCCCAAATGTATTTCCCTGTTACCATAGGGTGGTGGAGGTCCACCTGGATCCGCTGGGGAACGTGGCAGGGTTGGTCCCCTTGGTAAAAAGGTAAGTGCTGAAAGAATTGTTTACCTTTAGTTAAAATGAGAGAGGAATGCTGGAGACTAGCCTGAACATTGTTTCAACATATAAAAGGAGCTATAATAATTACCTGGGACAATATGAGAGTTGTCAGAATCTCTTTTCCATGGAATATGTTTTCTAATAAAGTAATTCTGAAATTCATAAATATAGTAGGTGAAGTTACTGAAATGTTGTCAAACTCTATAGAAAGCTGATGTGGGACACTGCTTAGAAGTACAGTGGTGCCTCGCTTAGCGATGTTAATCGGTGCAGCAAAAATCGCCGCTAACTGAAAACATCGCTAAGCGATTTTAAAAAGCCCATAGGAATGCATTGAAACCCCTTCAATGCATTCCTATGGGCAAAAAACTTACCTTTAAGCGAAAATCCTCCATACGGCGGTATGCGCTGCCCGGTATGCGAGGAATCTGTCCCAAAACACAGCGGGTGGCCTTTTATTTTACCCGGCGGCCATTTTGGAACCGCCAATCAGCTGTTGGGAAACCATCGCTATGCGAAAATCGGTAAGCAAAACAGCTTACCGATCATTGCAAAGCGATTTTTCCCATTTAAAACATCACAATGCGATCGCTTTTGCGATCGCAAAAACCAAATCGTTATGTGATTTGGTCTTTAGCCGGGGCGCTCGTTAAGCGAGGCACCACTGTACTACAGAATCAGCATTGCTGCCCCCCCCAGTCTCTTTGAAAAATCAGATTATTAAATGAGGTCTTACATGAATACAGGAAAGATCAAATGGTGTATTTTGCCCTGAAAATGTATAGAAGCACTGCAGAATGTATAAGCTGCACTATCTGGTGTTGTATCAGAGAATCTCACTCTATAAATTGCAGAGACTGAAGAGACACAGGCTAGGAGATAGATACCAGATAGATAGAAAGCATACTCACAGGAAGCTCCTTTGAAGATGGTTATAATAGATACCAGATAGATAGAAAGCATACTCTGTTGGCTGGAACAGGAAGCTCCTTTGAAGATGGTTATACAAGTTCCAGGTCTCCCAAGTCATGAGAATATCACTGTCATTTATTTCTGCTCTCTGGCCCTAGCGGGAGTGGTGGTGGATGGGCATGGAGACAAAAACCTAGACCTTTGACATTAGTGTCCAGAGCACAAACAGAAATAGATGATGGTTCTTACCTGGTGCAGAGCTATTGTTCCAACCCCTCCTTCCACCTGTAGCATTTTTTCCAAATTAAACTGAGTAGTCTTTGCTCACCATTACACAGATGATTTAAAACATCCTATTTATACTGTATCATGATCGAGGAATGCATTTTAAACACACAATTTCTGATTATTTCATTTTCCTGCAGTTATTGTTCTTAATGTAGATAACTGTTAATAAAATAAAAATGATATAATAGCTGCTTGCCTCTCACAATGGCTACTGTGCAAAAAGTAGCTCTTTGTCAGTCTTGCCCTTTTGTATATCACAAGGCTATTATTTCTGGCTACAAACAAAGAATAAATAATAATACTACTCACAACTTATTCAGATGCTGCTAAGGATCATTTAAAGTGGGAAAATAGAGATGAAAAGAAATAATATATTGGACAAAAGACTTAACATAATAATCAGCATTTACAAAGCAGTTTAGACTTTCAGACTTAAACCATTTTCACAATAATGAACATTTAAACTGTTAAATTATTAAAGGACCTAATACTCTAGAATCAACCATCAAGATTTAAGGAAGGAAAATACTTAGGAAAAATCCAGAATGAACATGGTAATTTGAAGTTTCCTGTTTATATTAACACTGAGGACAACTACATGGTCAAATGCCATGGGATTTGCTCTACTTAGAAAATGGGTGAATTTAATTTTTTTAACTGTCTGCATGATGTACAAAGCTGATACAAATTCATCCAGCCTATTTAAACCCAACCTGGCTTTTTTCCTGTCTCCAGAGGACTGCAATGTTTTCATGATGGGAGGATTCAGTTGGGCTTTCTATCCTACAGACTTTGTTGTAAAGATGGGGTGGGCGGGCACCAGCATTCCCCTCTCTCCACAAAGCTTCTCCTCCCAATAGCCACTTCTTTTTTGGAAGACAAAAAAAAGCTTCCCACCCAGGTGGTTGTGATGTGCGGGAGGAGGGGCATTCAAAAGCAATGCATTGTGAGATTTTCTGTGAAGCTGCCTTTTCATTTATTTATTTTATTTTGTTTATTTAATTTGCATGATACACTACCCTGTTAGTGCAATGCACTATTCTGGGCAGTTCACAAGAATTAAAATAACAGATAAATCATTCTGAGTTATGAATCACAATGTATTTTTCAAAATTACTGTTCAAACTTTTGATGTTCTGTATTCTGAGACTATGAAGTACCTTTCTCACCTTATTTTTCTATTTCTGTAGAAATATTTTTCAGAAAGGTAGTCATTTGTGGTTTGAGTGGGGAGGATACCAATAGAGGATATTTGAATGAAAGCTGGGCAAGTTCTACTTGGCTGGTCTGAAAATAATGCCTGGCACATAACTCTTCTCTGGGGCCTCCCCAACCATATCAGGGGACACTTGCTACTCCTCTCTTCCCCATCCCCCAGTCCTGGCATCTAGCCATCACTTCCACCGACCCTTCCTGTGGCTCTTCCCTGCACATATAAGAATCCTAACCTCATTTGAGGTCTTTTGGAGACCGTTCACTTGAGGTTTCAGCTGCTTCATCCTGACCCTCCGGCAAAGTCTCACAGCGCTGTGTGGGGAGCCCTGTAGAGGCAACAATTTCCTTGACTCTCTGCTGCACCACCTCCTGCTCTGGGGTATGGGATTCCTGTGGGGTCCAAACCACTAAAGGATCAGCAGAGACGGGACCAGGAAGGAACGAATGCGGGGCAGGCGGGCTGTGGGCTGGAAAGCAACTCACTTTACAAACAGAATGAAAATGGTGAACTCCCAAACCAAACTGCATCCTCCGTTTGGTCGCTGTTTGTGATTTCAGACCTAATACAATCTCTGAATAAAATTGCAGCAAAGCCAAATAATTCTGATTCAGCCCTCCAGTGGAGTCACACATACTGGCAAGCAAGCTTGTTTAGTGCTTTATTGCAGATTCTTTACAGATTTAGCAATTTGCCACCAGATTTTTTTTGGCAAACTGTAACCTTATTTTTTTTAAAAAAAAAAAGGATCTGAGGTGCACTGGAAGATCCCCAAAACTGTTTTCCTGGGGAACCACAAAAAAGGGCTCAGCTACCACACTTTGCCCACTTGTGCTCAAACCAGCATTTTCAGAAGCTTACTCCCATCAAGCTCAAATACCTATTTTTAATTACAGGGAGAACCTGGTGATTCCGGTCCAAAGGGGCCTGATGGGCCTCCTGGGCCCCGAGGAGAGACGGTAAGTTAATCTCAATATTGCAAAGGGATCTAAATGGAGGTGGATGCTAAAGATCATTTCTTTGCTGAAAAGAATAGAAAATCACTTGGTCATGTTTTTTTTTGGAGAGGTTGAAAAGCTTGCTCACTCCTGCAAGAACAGCCCAGGTGTCATACAATCCACTGCACAAAGCCTCTGTTTAAAATCTTCTGCTTCTTTATTTCAAGAACAAACTCAGATTTCTAATCTAGCTTTTTTTGTTGTTGAAAAGTTTTTAAATTACAGATAAAACTTTCTAAGCTGTACTGTTTGTCTAAGCTGAACTGTGCCTTTGCATCTTCTAGGGAGATGATGGTCGAGATGGTGTTGGAAGAGCAGGAATTAAAGGCAGAAGGGTATGGCCAGTTGCAACATCTGATGAACCGGAACGTAAAGGGGAGCGTGGAGGGGGACAGCACACTGTGGGGTGACACCTCCACAGCTTGGAGCCTAGGCTGGCCCCTGCCAAATGCCTGCCCAACATAATGTTTCCTGTTTTGGACAGAGAGGATAAGGGCCTATTTCTACCAGGCACACTGACAGAGCTGGGTAGATAATAACAATTATGAAACATGAAGTCACTTCCTCTCAACACACTCCATAGATTTCGAATTACAATTGCCAAGTCAGCACCGTCCCCTTCCCTAAGCTTTCATAATCAGAGCCAAAGACACTGAAGCATCTGCTGCCTTATGATATCAATGGGAACAGCCCCCACCCGAACAACAATGTGTTAAATGCTGTAAACTGTCATAAGTCTTTTACAAATAATAAAGACTGCCGTTGTCAGTAAATAAAAGATAAATAAAAGAAGCAGCACAGAATAAAACTGGCAACTGAAGAGGCACCCATTAAAGAAACTGAGCCAGAACAGAAATGAGGGTCTGCCACTACTCACTCTACAGTCATATGCTTTAGTACTTTAGCTAAATGTTGGTGTTGCTAAATATATACTGATTCTTTGAAGTACCAATGAAATTGCCAGCTGGCATAGCATCTCAAACAATAGCCCCAACAGGCATAACCTCAGATTTTGGTCAGTTTATTATAAATCTTGCCCTGACTCAATTTGTACAAGATGCAAATGATTTGGGAAACATTGTTGTCTCATTCCTCAACATAACTCCTAGCATACTGAAACAGCAGTTTTGAGACAATGGTTATAATTTTTCATGTATCTAGTGCAGTGCATTACTGTTCAAACTTTTGATGTTCGTTTGGTTGTTGTGGGTTTTTCGGGCTCTTTGGCCGTGTTCTGAAGGTTGTTCTTCCTAATGTTTCGCCAGTCTCTGTGGCCGGCATCTTCAGAGGATAGATCCCAGCCGTGAAAGCCTTTGTGAATACATTGAATCATGGGTTTTTTGCACATACAGAAGACCCCCCATATCTGCAGGGATAGGTTCCAAGCCCCCCTCCCCCCAGATGCTAAAAAACACAAATTATAGCAAATACTATTTTAATAGTGAACAATATATATAGCATGGTCTCTGGATCCCCGTAGTGGCCCATTCTGCTAACTTCATCTTTAGAAATATATCTTTCCAGCTTTTTTCTTTTAATATTTTCAAACTGCGACTAAGTGAGTCACTGGATACTGATCCCACAGACAAGGGGGTCATACTGTACCTAATAGATTATATAAATGTTGGCTTGATGGACCCAGACCATCAATGCTTTCATAGTCAGACCAGTACCGTACAGAGTACCCAGAAGGTAACAGAGAACATCATTAGATACTAGAGCACTGGTACATTGTGCTGCCAGTGACATCTCTGCCCCCCCCCAACCCCACACAAAGGAAAGTCAGGCTTCAACTTTGTTACCATTTTAGAATCATATAAACTGTAACCATAGGGTCATTTCCAGCATGGATTACAAAGTAGCAAAATCATCTAATAAAAACGAATGTGTCTCTGCCTTGGGCCCTTTTGAGGAGAAAGGTGTGATAAAAATGTATGTATGTATGCATGAATATATTTCATTTTACAATCTGTATCTTATTTCCACAGGGAGAACCCGGCTTCCCAGGATATCCAGGACCTAGGGTACTTTTTAAAAATCTTAATTCTCTCCTTTCGCTTCCTGCAGCTACTCCTGCATGACAGGAGCTGCCCTCGCTTTTGCAAGCACAGTTGCTCCTGCCGGGTACTTTCAGAGAGTTAATGCTTCACTGCTCTTCTCCCAACAGGGGGCACCTGGAGATCGTGGTGGCAGTGGTGAGCCAGGTCCAAAAGGAAGCAGAGGTCACAGGGTAAAGCAACTTCTCGTTTGGTTCCAGATGACTAAAATAAACTGTAATCACAGAGTTATTTCCCGAGTGGTTCCCAAATCATCACATTCATTATTAAATTTTCTTTTTTAAATCACGTATTTTGTTCTAAATGTCATTCTGTCCTAGTTACTTGCATAGCTCTGTTGACACTCGAAGGGAATGCAGTTATTGCCCAAGAACATCAGAGAAGTCCTATTGGAGGTGTTGTAGAGATGGGCACGAACTGCCAGGCTGGTGGTTTGTGTTGATTCATACTTTGTCCAAACAGATGTCTGGCACTTCCCAACTCCTACTCCTCCTCCTCCTCCTCTGGGGGTGCCCACTCAGAGGCAGCGCCCAGGGGAGATGGGGCAGGGAAGTTGAAGCATCAGACAAGTGGGCTAAGATGGTCCACTATTAAAATAAGAAAGTCTAACTATTACATTAAAATGTAATACAACACTTTTGTATTTAAATATTAAAATATATTAGTCACAATACTTTTGTATTTTTAATTTTTTTTCTTTTGCTTTTGCCTGATATGCCTGCACAGACTAATACAGCTACCACTTCTGAAACTGCAACAATGAACAAAATAGTTATTTATTTTAAATGTTTCTATCCTGCTTTTCACATGGGGTTTACAACCATATTTGTAAATATGAAATACCACCAAACTCTTTCACTTCATTCAAATCACAATGAAAGACCAGATCATCAATTACTGATTGCAAGGTTAAAGAAAAGGTTGACAGGTGACAGCTCTGTACATTTTTTCTGCAGTTGGGAAAATTATCCACATTTTCCTGTTCTGCTGATCTTGTCTCTGTATAGAGTACTGGCCCACAATCTGGCTTAATTTTAAATGATAAAAGCAATGAAGAACGGAGTGTATAGGCATCTAGCAGTTGCAAGTAGAGGAGTAACTGAGTTAACCTGAACAAACCAGAATAGACCATTAATTGATTTAAAGGGCAGGTGTGTGTACTGTCAACAAAACATGCTTATTATTGGTGGTTATTTTCTCTTTAGGGGAGGGCAGGAGATCCTGGTTCAGCAGGTCAAAAAGGAGAAAGAGGTTTTCCAGGATCAGCTGTAAGTATTGTTTTGCATTTTTCATCCATTAACTTGACTTTATTAGAGATTCCAAATAATTTTTGCAATTATTTCCATTCTGGAAAATAATGCCACATTTCACATCTGATAAAGGATGATGCTGAGTTTCTTGGACAAATTACATGAGATTAGAATTTGACTAATAAGGAAGTACAAAGATGAAGTTGTTTATTTTGCTTATCATGCTCATTCTGGTATTCCCATATGTGCAGAGTTTAAAGAACACTTGCAGAAGTAATACGATGTTTTCCACAAAATAAGACAGGGTCTTAAATTAATTTTTGCTCCAAAAAACGCATTAGGGCTTATTTTTGGGGGATGTTTTATTTTTTTCAAGTACAACAATCTATATTTCTTCAAATGACATCAGTTATTATTATT